CGACAAGCCGCCGCACAATAATAGGGATGCTCAAACTGATCCATTATGTTAAGCATATGCATGAGGTTGAAATTTCATGCGATAAATCAAAACACGTGCCAATCACGCAGAACTGGGATGATAACCAAGACGGTTTCTCTCTTAAAGTTACGCGAATGTGTTTAGGAAATTACATTTTGTTTTCTTTTTTTTTCGTAACCTGTTTTGTTTATTATACAACTAAAAATGTATTTCAAAACTTACAGATATGACTATCTCTGGTAATGTGTCTGTCTGTACTAATTTTGCCGATTTGTTTTTATTTTGCAAACAGAATTTGCGTAGGCGAATGTCTGCTGATTTATTTATTGTTTATGATATTTCATACAGCAGAGTGAAATAATTTCTTTATATAAACTACCTTCGACGTATAATCTTTGTTCGCTAAGTACAGAGTGAAGCAAGGAAACCTGTTTTCTATCTGTATCACTTTGAATGATAGTCCAGACGGTAACTGTTTCAAAAAGTCCATATTTGGGTGAATCGTATGTCCACGGAGATTTTTGGCTTTTTGGCTTAAAAATATACACTAGAAATGAAAATTTTTTTTATGCGCATAAAAAAAACGTGGGATTAACTTTTGACGGCACAATATGTTTAAAATAATCGAAAAATGTCATATTTTTCTTCCTATTTAATTATGTATCTTTTCAAGAGTTGATTTTAAGCGAAAATGGAAATGGAAAAAAATGTTTGTAATTAAATTTTTTACAAAATATGACTGGTTACAAATTGAATGAATCATGATTATTATTGTAAAAATCGAAAAAATCTCCAAAAATGGGGTTAAAAAACATTACTTTTTAGGAATTTTTTTTGGGGTCTTTAAATTGGGTATAGGACCTTCATACTTGGCTCAAGAAAACTTCATGTTATGTAGAATGATCACACCTAATTTCATCAAAATCGGTTGGATAGATTTTGCATAATAACTTTGATCCAAGTTTTGAAAAAAAAATTGTAAATTTTCAAAATTTTGCACAGCAAAAACCAAGGCCCTTAGATACTTGAAAATTTAATCACATACAGTAGGGCTCTCAATCTTTCAAACGCTTTTAGAAAAATCCAAATCCGTCAATTAGGAGAGCTCTGGCGCTTGTTTAAACATTGGCCGAATTTTTGTACTTATAAACAATTAGAATATTCAACCAAATCTTAAAATAGGTTTTAAAAGTTCTTGGGAAGACGCTTCTCTTAAAAAAAAACAGATATACACATTTTAGATAAAGTCAACATTCTCCTATTTTATCAGGGAATATTCTGTTTTCTAAATGACAACAATCGTGTATTATTTAATAAGTTGTTCTCGGTGTTAGTTGCACTATTTGCACCAAGAGTTGCATCATATTTTCTCAAGGCTTACCTTACCATATTTACTTACATGTGTTAAATACTGTATCAGTTAATCCCTGGGAAAAACTGCATTCGTAGTAGATAATTATAGTGATTAGATTATAGTGCGTTTTAGTTTCGATTCTATCGGATGACCACAAAAAAATCGTACAAGTTGTGTATAGCCAATATTGCAAACAAAGTGGCAAATTACAGCTTTTGTACGAACTTTTCTCTTCAAAACGTGGCAATGTGCCACATTTATCAGTTTTCAAAATAAAGTTGAGTTGAAAGAACAATAATTAGAGACAAATATCGTGATTATATAATATTCCTCCTACCGAAAATTCGCGTAATTTGCGAACAGTCTCAGCTACACACTCTCTGTACTTGCAATAAATTTTCGCAATCTTCGAAATGAAAATGGCACACAATTCAAACCCTGCGCTACTTTTTGGAACACCATTTACAACTGTTGGGCAAAACGTCGCATATTACACGTCAGACTTCTTTCAGTCACTCGTAACATAATGTACTATTTTTATAGCGAAAACTAATTTGATTATCACAGACGCACAAAGACGTTAATTGAAACTGGTGATTTTATAAAATATTCCAGAACTGTGTAAAAATTATGTTTGTATAGGTTTTTAAGACAATTTGAATTATTATCACATACTATTTACAAGAACTCACTAACCTTGAATTATGTGGCATATTCCAACAGTAATAGTTAACAATAATAATAACACAAAGTCAAAGCATACATTTTGTCGTTTTTAAACGAACAGCAAAATCCATTAAAAAAATAACAAATAATTAGTTTGCAATTACGGCCCTATTTGTATGTAAACTCGAAACACGCGGTAGAAACGTCCTCTAGGAACCCCCACAAAGCGAAAGCGACATGAACATTAACATTATTATGTTTTATTTACACGAAGTCGCTAAATGTAATCACTGTTTACCGAAACCAAACTGAAATCCAGTTTAAACTGATTTAATCTTATCGACATAATGAAAATTAGTACCTAATATATAATATATATCTTCTTTTTGAGTTTTAAATCACATATACAGTGTCCCGCAGTGATAACACGCATTTGTGTGCTTATGCATTTTGGTGGTTGAATTTTTAGTGATTTTGTAATTAATACCAGACATAAAAACTGGTAAGTAAATGTACCTCACGCTCTTGAATAATACTTCGTAAATGAGTATCTAGATGTTTAAAATATGAATAAGATATCTCGAATGTGATATCTATCACCCCCCTTTGAAAAACTACATCTTCCTTAACATTGATTTTCAGAAAAATGATTATATGTAAGCATACAAAATATTTTACCAACGCAACAGTACGTTATATGACCACAACTTAGTACCTCCGTTTTTTAAACCTGAGGAAAACCAGAATTGCATTTGTTGCAGTAACCTTTGTTGCTTTCATGTATCTGTTACAAGTGCAAATTTCTTTTTGATAGTTGCAATCCACTGTCATTACCTTTGGCGCATAATTTTGTTTGGTCTCGCAACCTTCCGCTACAGCGGTTGATTTTCCAGTCGCCACAATGTTCGCAGCATTGCAAGAATTCGGTAACAGTTTTATATCTGGTGATTATGTTAACACCTTGACAGGTAAACAAATCTTTTCTCCTTCAAAATATTAACCCACTATGTTCCAGTCTTTGTTGGATCAATATTATTCTCGTTCCAGATTTTTTAATTAATATATCCTAATGTAGACATTACGTATGGTAATACCACGTAATACGATAACATGTTTTGATGTTTTATTTTAATGCGCTTGTGGTTTGTTGGTAGCTATTAAAATTTGAGTACCGTAATTAGAATAATTTTGTACGTCCCAGATATTTTTCCTTAGAAAATATGTAGCATTACATTTTGTAGTGACAGAATTTTTACGAATATCTAAACAGTGATTATGCAAATCCGGATTTGATCATTTCGTAACGGATCAGCCGTTTCACGATCTAGTTATTTTTTTAATTATTGCTTTATAAAATGAATTGCAGTAAATTAAGGTTGATAATTAAATTACCATGGCTAATTGAATTATATATCCCAGGGCTTGTGAATTTCGATGTGAACAAAGTGAAAACAAGGAGTTAATTTCGTATTGAGCATATACGAACAAGATTATCTCAGGGGGTTGACCTAAACAGCGTCATATTGTGAAAAAATATCAATTTTTTCATCATAATTAAACAAATCGTGTTTAAATTTACGTTTGCAAAAGTTTTCTTTGTTCTAAATTATCTTTTTTTATATATATACTTGAATTCCTTTGAACCGCTAAGTTTATCAACTTGAATTGAATATTATCATCAATAATCGATAATAGATTTAAAACAGGCTATTGTGTTTTCCAAATTATATTCATATATGTACTGGAGTGTTCCGTTCCAGCTAAAATTTTATTGGAAAAACCAGATATCGGTACATCTATACAAGGAATATTGACTAACTGTCGTTGGATTTGTATTATTTTAAAAATCAAACATTGTATGCGCTTCTGGATGTAATGATTGAATTGTTTGACGAATGAAAATATCTGAATACAGGTTAAAACTGGTTCTAAGAACGCATTATCTGTAAATCGGTAACAATCAATTTAATAAAATATAATCATAATAATATAATACGAGATTATTTTCAGTTAAAATAATTGTGTATATCTATATTTTATAATACCTAGGTAGGTATATATATTATTTTATAACGACAATGTGCATAATGCAACGATTTCATTATCAATATGCTGTGACAATATTGGAAAATTAACTGAGTATTCAGAATTTTTTAAAAATAAAACTTTTTTTTCCGTTTTACTTATATGTACAAATTATACCATTATTATACTAAATTATACTATATCATACGTGACCAAATATGTTAGATTATATGTATTTGTACTAGCTTCTAGTACATTCAAATTGGTAAAGCAAAACATGGTACCGAATCAGCCGATTTCTCACAATTATTGTTATAGTTAAATATAATAATAATACACTTACCTGATTCCTTTAAAAGTCTTTTTCTTTATGATAAACTTTATAGCTCTGCTTGGAGATCGCGTTGGAAGTCGGAATCTTCAAAATGTGCATCCTTATCTGTCTTTAAGTTTTTTATCCTTGGAAACACATAAAATTTTTAAATTTTCTTGTTTGCACTATAAAAAATATCGCAAATTGCAACACTGGACTTCACGCCTGGCATTTTTACGTGGCAAATTAATAGTTTGTATTAAACACTACACCATTAACTTATTTTATTACAAACTTGGTCGCATGTTTAAATTAGTAAAAAAACATTAATTTTAGGTTAGGAATTTAGTGATGCAGTATTGGCAACCTGTAATCTGTGATTGGCAACTCAAAACGCACTCAAAACTCGACGATTAGAGAGAGAGAGTGCTCTTTCTCTTTTTACACTTTTTAACCCGCGGTGTTTCCATGCTCTACTCTAATGTCTCTACATACTCAAAGTGATGCGCGGTCTGCTATGCGCGTCGCCTTATGCGGTCATTTGAATTTTCTGGTTTAAAATTTAAAATGCTGTAATTTGGCTTCATGTAAATCCAATCTAAACGATTTTCTTGTTTTCAGACCACCATGCCCAATCCATGTCTGGAGCACTCGCCTAACGCGGCCTTAAATAAAACAGTATTACACAATTACTTGACACTGCCCATCCCCGATGGAAAGTGCCAGACCACGTACATTTGGATAGACGGCACAGGCGCAAATCTGCGGTGTAAAACACGCACTTTGGACTTCGTCCCAAGCAAGCCAGAAGGTATCGTATTTTTCTCATATTTTTCAAAACACACTGTATATTTCTTTTATAATTTGTGGCGTACAGTATTAAAATTTGACGAAAGCTATAACATAAATTGATATTTAGCTGTATATTAACTATTCACGAGTTCATATTTTGATATGTTAACTCGTCTGGATTTGTTTTATGTAATAAAAATAAACGCCACAAAAGCAGTACCTACAACGTAGATACGTAACCGCAAATTTGTATAAACAGTATTTACTATAATAATACGATTACGCTTACCTCAATCATGCTTGTCGGTAAATGTCATCTTTGTTATAAATAAACAGTAATAAGTTAGTGATATTAAAATATCTATCATCACGCAATCATCTTATAACATTAATAATAATAAACACAAAACGTGAGTAATATGCCATTTAGTAAATTATTATCCATTAAGAAAAAATTAATATTTCTTTGCTTATTTTAATAACAAATCATCATAGATATAGGTACTTTATTTACTGCATATTTTTTATAAACTCTGTTGGAAATTATTGCTAATAAATAAAACTAGAGACGCCTGTTCAGCTCAGCGTTTATTGAAGAAGTGCTTTTTTGATGGACTTATACATATTTCTGCAGTTATCAATTCAATATACTTACCTCTCTGAGAAAAGCATGGACCTTAATATAAATAAACAAACAGAAATATAAAGCAAACACATTAGATCGGTTCTGAGTTTTTAATTTTTGTAACTGTATATTTCTTATAATATTCAACAAATTCTAACAAAAAGGGTTTTTTGGCGAGAAAACCGCTAACCCGGTTAACTATAGTTTGTTGAGGTTTGACGTTTTGGCGAGAAATGTAGTTAACCCGGTTTGGCAGAGTTTGCCTAACCATCAAACCGGACTTGTGGGTTGGTTTGGATATTAAGTTAATATTTCTATCTTTGTTTATTTATTTTCTGTTTCGTACCATCGTACCTAGTCACTACTTCGTTTTTTTAGAGGTTTGGATAGGTATGTTGTAAATAAAAAAAATTGATAATGGATTAACTTTGCAAAAAATACAAAGTAAATATTTAAAATTGATAATAAAAAAATAGTAATCGAGGATCCAAATAACTTTAATCGTAGATATGCATATTCTATATTGTACTGTATAGATCTTTATTAACTTCCTTTTTGACGATACATTTACGTGGGAATAGATATTTGTGAAAAGGTAAACCCATTTTGATTTAATAACCATCTATACATTAAAGTTATTTCATGGATGTGCATTTCAGATTAGGAATAACAATTATAGTATATAAGAAATAATCAAACAACTTGAGCTACGAGCACTATCATAGATTATAGGTTACGATTTTATTGTTGATTAGGTATCCAAACCAAAAGAATTTTTGCGAGTTCTGTCAAATGTTAACTCAAACTTTTAACACAATCAAACTCGAGCTAACCGGGTTTGATGTGGTTTGGCTCGCCAAAAAACCCTTAAAGTTTATTTACGTTGGATAGTTAGATTATGTTTTTTATGTTTTGTTAATTTTGACATTCAAAATGTAGACTCTCGGTTTCCATTTCGGTATTTTCTTTAATGTTCTGCATGTAAAATTTTAAAGCGCCATTAAATTGTTTTTATGGCAAATTATTACGTGAAAACAATAATGTGCTTGTCGCACATTCAGTAAAACTGTAGAACTGTTTTAAAAGTTTAAAAATCCATGTAGTTCGTGGAAGAAGAAGATGAGGAAACCTTGGGGTCAGATGTTTTTGGCGTTTTTGATTTTGTTGTTCTTAGTTTCAGTTTTAGAGGTTAAGTTATAGATGCGATATGAAGTGTGTTGGTATATTTCATTGTAACTTTTGGTCTTTGGTGGAAGAATAAAGTCATTTTTTAAGGAAAAGATTATGTGCGGTTCCTGAAACGACCTCCTACAAAAGTAATTAAATCATATTTTAAGATGTTATGAAGAATCTTCAGCTTACAACAAAACACAAAACAGTAATAATATGCCTTCCTTTTTTCTATACAAGTTCTCCATCGGCTCCTGTAACAATAGCTAGCTTAAATTTTTCTTTTCCCGTATCCTTCATTTAGCTGCATATTGTAGAATTATGTACCTCGAACGCTTTTTAGCAGTAAGTTTCCCACTTTCAGAATTGCCCAAATGGAACTACGACGGCAGCTCCACGTACCAAGCAGAAGGCTCAAATTCGGACACATATCTGTTCCCCGTCGCCATATACAACGACCCCTTCCTCAGAGGAAACAACAAACTAGTGCTGTGCGATACGTACAAGTACAATAAGAAACCAACGGAGACCAACAAGAGATTAACGTGTTTCCAGGCCATGGAGGCGGCGAAGGACTCCCAACCTTGGTTCGGCATCGAGCAGGAATACACGCTGCTTGACATGGACCTCAGACCCCTAGGATGGCCTAAGCACGGTTTCCCCGGGCCTCAGGGCCCCTACTACTGCGGCGTCGGGGCTAATAAGGTGTACGCCAGGGACATCGTCGAAGCCCACTATAGGGCCTGTCTGTACGCGGGGATTAATATATCTGGCACGAACGCTGAAGTTATGCCCGCTCAGGTATGTTAGTTAAATGTTATGTTTTTGCACTTGTATTTGTAGAGGGTGTCACGGAAAAGTAGTTAACGCTTATTGAGGTAGCCCTCTCCATGAGGTACCAAGGAATGTTTTTTAATATTGCTCTAAAATTGTTTTAACTATAAACTTTTTATTTGAGTACAATATATTTCTTGAATATGTAAGAAAATAATTTGTTTCCAAGCAAATAATATGAATTTTCCAAAAATATTTATGTAAAACGGAAATTTTGTAGTAATTTAGTAGTAGTTTAAGTTTGAGAATATAAAACGAATATTATATAAAACTTGGATGATGGAGAATGTTGGAAAAACGTTGCTTTTCGATCGAAATGCTTTACTTGAGTTTAATTTGAGTTCGTGTAATTTTGTTCTTCAGTGGGAGTACCAAGTGGGGCCTTGCGAAGGCATCGCAGTCAGCGACGAGCTGTGGGTATCGAGGTATATCCTACATCGGGTAGCGGAAGACTTTGGCGTAATTGTAACGTTTGACCCCAAGCCTATGGAAGGGGACTGGAACGGAGCGGGTGCTCACACTAACTTCTCAACGAAAGCCATGAGGGAGGAAGGAGGTATTTTGTAAGTATCGCTTTTTTAATAACTGTAATGATTTTCCAATAAATGTAAATATATTTAAGCGTTATAAATATTTAAGTGTCAGCCTTGTATTTATTGTATATTTTACAATGGAATATAATAACGTAAACAGGTTTTATTAGAGGGGTTCGCAGATGCAGCACGTAATGAGGATATGTTAATTATCGCAAATAAACTGTTTAAATGATAATGTTGTCGGCAAATATAAATCGCATTTAAGCGTCTTCCTGTGTTGCAAAAACCTTGCGTGCAGTTTGAATAATGGATCTAAGTATTTGAATATGTAACTAAATTAGTAAATTTCCGTTAAGGTTAATTAAACGATAATATGTATCTAGAAATATTTAAGTATAGTTAGTGCTTTGTATATTTAAATACAGTTAAACAATTTTTATGTACGAGCTACGAATTGCCACATTTTTGAGTTTTTTTGAATTTTATTTTTTTGTGGAGCAGGTTATTACTAAATAACCGCATTACTTTCAGGGAAATTGAAAAGGCTATCGACAAACTCAGCAGAAATCATCTCAGACATATCCAGGCCTATGATCCCCGTGGGGGAAAAGACAACGAACGCCGTCTCACCGGAAGGCATGAAACTTCGTCTATTCATGACTTTAGTGCAGGTAAGATTTAATTTAATTACGTCAGATTCCAAAATTAGATTTTATTTATAAATAAATTACTCATAGATTTTTCGTTATCAAACGTGTGCCGATTTTTCTATTTTAAAAATATCTTTGCAATTTCCCGAATTGTGTATAAAACTTGGTCGATGACAGTGATAAAAAACTATTGCTTTTATTCATAATAAAATTTGTCGATTAGCCGTAATTCTAGCAAACTATTCATTATCTGCCAGACAATGATCAGAGATTTCTTTATCTTATTTCAATATAAACATATCGATCTTATCTAAATTTTAAAGAGTACTATTTTACTAAGCATCCTGCACGACACCGGACTTATGTTTTTTTATTTCAGGAGTCGCTAACCGCGGAGCGAGCATCCGTATCCCCAGGGATTGTGCCGAGAACAAGAAGGGATACCTGGAGGACAGAAGACCCTCGTCTAACTGTGATCCTTACTCGGTAACAGAAGCTTTAATTAGGACATGTGTTCTAGATGAATAAACACGAGCGTTCCTAAATAAATTTTTAATATGTTCTTTTACACGATATTTTATAATGCTGTTAACGTATAACGTACGTGAAAAAGTTTTATTTTTCACAAACAAAACTCAATACATCCAGAAGTCTGGGGATTTCTCAGATACACCGTATCATATCCGAAATATTCAGGAATATTCAAATTACAAACTGGTACTAAATACTGTATGTTAGATTAGAAGGTTGTAAGTTTAAAAGCACAACGTTATAATAATGGCGATTATATGTTAGGAAAATATATAGTTTATAATTTATATTGGTTTACACACAATTGTTATATATGTATAAATGAGAAAATATATGTTGTATTTGTTTAGTTTGTCTCTTATTTCAGTTTGGTTGAATCGCATCGAACAATGCGATGAACGATCTTGATGGATGTGTTGTAGGTTTTAAATTTTGGGATCTCAGGATTTCTAAATTTCCAGGTCTCGGATGTGTCGCAAATAAATTTCAAATCTTGGAATCTCGGAATTTCAAAATTCCAAGATCTCAGGGTTTCAAAATTCAGAGTTCTCAGGATCTCAAAATTCGGAGATCTCGGGATTTCAAAATTTCAAGATCTCGGAGGTTTTGAAGGTTTCAAGTCTTGTGATCTCAGGATTTCAAAATTCCGAGACCTCGGGGTTCCAAAATTCTGAGGTTTTGGGATCTCGATATTCAGAGATCTCAGGATTTCAAAATTTCATGATCTCGGAGGTTTTGAAGGTTTCAAATCTTGGGATCTTGAAAATTCCAAAATAATCCCAAAATCAAATTGTATTTTGTTCTTATTTGTTTTGTCATGGTAAGTGGTAACGATCTCCAAACAGTTCTGAGGTCTCGGGATCTTGAAACTCGGAGATCTCGGGATTCCAAAATTTCAAGGTCTCGGAGGTTTTGAAGGTTTCAAATCTTGGGATCTCAGGATTTCAAAATTCCGAGATCTCGGGGTTTCAAAATTCTGAAGGTTTGGGATCTCGGGAGTTCAAGATCTCGGAGGTTTTGAAAGTTTCAAATCTTGGGGTCTTGAAAATTCTGAAATAATCCCAAAATCAAATTGTATTTGCCTCTTATTTATTTTGTCAATGTAAGTGGTAACAATCTCCAAACAGTTCTGAGGTCTCGGGATCTTGAAATTCGGAGATCTCGGGATTTCAAAATTTCAAGATCTCGGAGGTTTTGAAGGTTTCAAATCTTGGGATCCCGGGATTTCAAAATTCCGAGATCTCAGGGTTTCAAAATTCTGAAGTTTTAGGATCTCGGGATTTCAAGATCTCGGAGGTTTTGAAGGTTTCAAATCTTGGGATCTTGAAAATTCTGAAATAATCCCAAAATCAAATTGTATTTTACTGTTATTTGTTTTGTCAAGGTAAGTGGTAACGATCTCCAAACAGTTCTGAGGTCTCGGGATCTTGAAACTCGGAGATCTCGGGATTTCAAAATTTCAAGGTCTCGGAGGTTTTGAAGGTTTCAAATCTTGAGATCCGGGATTTCAAAATTCCGAGATCTCGGGGTTCCAAAATTCTGAAGTTTTAGGATCTCGGGATTTCAAGATCTCGGAGGTTTTGAAGGTTTAAAATCTTGGGATCTTGAAAATTCCGAAATAATCCCAAAATCAAATTGTATTTTACTCTTATTTATTTTGTCAAGGTAAGTGGTAACGATCTCCAAACAGTTCTGAGGTCTCGGGATCTTGAAACTCGGGATTTCAAAATTTCAAGGTCTCGGAGGTTATGAAGGATTCAAATCTTGGGATCCCGGGATTTCAAAATTCCGAAATCTCGGGGTTTCAAAATTCTGAAGTTTTGGGATCACGGGATTTCAAGATCTCGGAGGTTTTGAAGGTTTCAAATCTTGGGATCTTGAAAATTCTGAAATAATCCCAAAATCAAATTGTATTTTACTGTTATTTGTTTTGTCAAGGTAAGTGGTAACGATCTCCAAACAGCAATACACTAAACGACTTATTTATGATAAGAGTTCAGTAAAGAAGAAAAATAAGTTTGTAAGTGTATTTCATAATTCTGAGATCTCGGGGTTTCAAAGTTTTGAGGTCTCAGGATCTTGAAACTCGGAGATCACGAGATTTAAAAATTTCAAGTTCTCGGAGGTTTTGAAGGTTTCAAATCTTGTGATCTCGGGATTTCAAAATTCTGAGATCTCGGGGTTTCAAAATTCTGAAGTTTTGGGATTTGGGATCTCGAAATTCAGAGCTCTCGAGATTTCAAAATTTCAAGATCTCGGAGGTTTTGAAGGTTTCAAATCTTGGGATCTTGAAAATTCCGAAATAATCCCAAAATCAAATTGTATTTGCCTCTTATTTATTTTGTCAACGTAAGTGGTAACGATCTCCAAACAGCAATACGCTAAACGACTTATGATAAAAGAGTCCAATAAAGAAGAAAAATGAGTTTAGTTACTGATTTAGCATATTCTATATGTGTTTTTAAGAACTTTTTTCAAGTTTAATTATTTCGACAATTCCGTTGTACATTTCTTGGATAGCCTCAGCTTCAGTAAGCCCCAACCGTCTTTTGTTGGATATATCGTAAACCCCGCCCTTCGCCTCGGTGTGCTCTCCAGCCGTGCCTCTGACTTGAAGGTGGTACCTATCTGCGATTTCATTCAGTCTTGTCATGTTTGACGCTAGTTTTGGTATTTTTATGTGAACTGATGCTCTAATCGCAGTACCTAGAATATGTACAAAGTTTAAGTACAATGTGTTGAAATTTATATAGACTGAGACAATTTCGACACTTGTTGGTCCACCCCGTACGTACCTAAATTAGTTGGGCAAAAGTTCAAGTACCCAAGCCTGTCGCTCTTTATAACCTTAACTTTCTTCTCGATATCCGCCACGCCCGACACGAATCTCTTGTACACCGCGCCTAGGTCGCCTCCAGGTTGCAAGGAAATAATCCTTATATGGTCCTCTTCGTTTACCCACACCAAAAACGTCTTGGTTTGATTGTGGTAGATGCCCCGTCCTACGGGCCAGTACCGACAAGCATTAGCTGCCTGTAAGAACCTGTCCCCTTCCTTGAAGAGGAAGTGGTCTTCGATCAGCTTCTCCTGGGTCTCTTTCGTCATTCCGTTCAGGGGATAGTAGGTGCCTTTCAATTCTCCCTCTAGGCCGTTTAAAACAGATATCATTTTGTTTTCTATGTCCCAGTACTGGCTCTCGGTGAGCGAAGGGTTGAAGGGGTATCCCTCGATGGATCTGCCGCAGCGGACTCTCGTCGACACCACGTATTGCCCCTTCGGATCTAAATTTCCTATTTTGTCCAGGGAGCCCCAGTCGGTTGCAGGGTGGTGGTCTGATTTTTTGAAACCGATGTGGTAGTCCTGTATGATCGGGTTGAATATATCTGCGAAAACTACATATGCACTTGGATCAGCTGCGTAAATCCCTATGTTGGAGTCCGGATTTTCAAAACCTATTAGAAATGATGCAAATGTGTTTAGGTGTTTAAAAAAATTTCATCTAAAAAGGCTTTAGTAACAGTACTACTCGGTATATTTTCAAAAATCATGTACCAGATTGCACACAGTCCAACAGAGTGGATCCGAAAGTAGTCCTTTTGTACTTTAGTCTATCAAACACGTCCCTGGTTAAATATTTTTTTACCAGCGATTTGGAATCTGTTCTCAAAAATGCTTTGTATGCCATTTCTAGTTTTTGTAACTCCTCGAGGCTGATTTTTCCTTTGCCACATTTTTCTTCACACTTGTAACATTTTGCTTTGGCCATATTCACTAAAATTTGACACACAACTTTGGGATATCGCCTCGACATAAATTTACTCATAATTAATATTTCTATAGAAACGAGATCATTTACAGCAAAAGGAGAACAATATTTTTCTATAATTAATACATCTGTTGTTTAAAAGGTCTTTCTACAGATCTAGTTGAAAAACACTGAAATGTATTATCTATTTTTAGAAGATTTTAAAAGAACTCCCTGTTCTCGGTACTTATTGAATATTTTTATTTCTCGATATTTACCATGCTGCCTAGCAAATATGCGAGATGTGAGTTCTAGAATGCGAGAATTATTCGAATGAATATAAATCAACTACTGATTTAGCGTATTCTAGACATATCAACAATCATTCGATAGAAAAATTCACATGCTAATAGTTTTTATATTTATAGGTAATATTCAATTCTTCATTTTGGGTGTCTTTTCAACTTCTAAATAGGGATGATTTTTGAAAATTTTCAAAAAACTGAAAGCTATGCCTATCTTAATTTTTTACGACTAGTAATTTGAAACATATTTTTATCTCTTTTCTTTAGTTCTTTGCGAATTGTGAAAAAACGGGCGATTTTTGCGGTTACTCTTTCGAGGGACCCGTATTTTTTCTTTTTGTCAAGTGGCCCCCTCTTTCAGAGTTACAGCCCCTGAAATCTGTCCTTAAGAATAGTCTTTTTTAAATCTCAGAACCCTGTTGTACGAGAATCACTAAATTTGGTACACAGGGGTTTTATGACGTGGAATCTGACAGTATAGTGCTACGCTATTTGGTAGAGAACTCCCTTAAGATACTTTTTCGTAGGCCCCCTTGTCTTTGGAACCAAAAAAATTTGATCGTAAATTCGAATTTCTTAAAAATTATTAGTTAGCTAGACCTTCGAATTTAGAAACTTTTTTGTCTCTCGATACTTTTTCAGCAAAACGCAATGTTTTTGAGGAAAATGGCGAATCACGATATGTATTCAATCACATTTTGATATTTTTCTCGAAAACATTGCGTTTTATGAAAAAAATATCAAGATATAAAAAAGTTTCTAAATTTACTTTCTAACGGACTAATCATTTTTAAGAAATTTAAACATCTGACCAAATTTTTTTGACTCCAAAGACAAGGGGGCCCACGAAAATTTGTCTTATGGGGGTAGCGCCATCAGATTCCACACGTCATAAAACCCCTGTGTACCAAATTTAGTGATTCTCGTACAACAGGGTTCCGAGATATAAAAGAAAATTATTCTTAGGGGCGGATATCAGGGGGCCACTTGGCAAAAATAAAAAATACGGGTTTCCTAAATTTTATTGCAATAATTTCGAGACACCCTGTATAATAATATATAAAATTTTATGAATTCTTATACAGCCAAGTATACACATGTATTGTATTGTATGAAAATCTTGGAAACTGGCGAGCTAGAGAAACTGAATCCAGTTTTGAATTGGTTAGCGCCGTTATGGTCTACCGGATTTTTTTCAGAATTTTCCGAGTCCTAAAAATTTTTGGAAAAATCGACATAGGAAAATTGTCAGAAAATTTGTGCATTTCTAAGGGTGGTTCCGTATACTTCTGGGGTCGCTGAACACGCTGTGATGGTCGATTTTTGTGCTTGCTTGTTTTGCATTGAGAAAAAGAATCGAAAATCTTTAGTTGAGAGAAACCGACTACAGTTTTCGATTAAATTTAAAATACACTAAATTGTTTTCATTCTTATATACACAACAAAATTTAATATGAAAGCTATTTTTGTAACCACTAGATTTTTATAAAATTTATGCAAATATTTCCCGACAAACCACCAAAACTATGCAGAATATGTATTCTAATTAAAATAAATAATGAATTAAAGAACTGGTTTAATAGACATAAATCATATAATCGTGATAACGACAAAACTTTTATCAATTTACAAACAGTATATTTTAATACATAATAAAAATTAATTGGGTGATTTAGCAAATATGGGAATCATAAGACTGACAAAGCAATATTTTTAAATAAAATAGCTTCGACGAACCCGGCAAATATTTCGTAATTTGGAAAATATTGTTGTACAACCTTTTTCATTAATTTCAATGACTAGAAGAAACCATTCAAGGAAAATAATTATTTAATTAATGCAAATAATTTCAAATTCAGTTTCATTCTCGTTCCCTTTGTTCCAAAAACTACTCGAACTAGCATAAAATGGTAATTTATAATTTTTTTTTATCATAATCACTTTAAACGTCATTATAAAAACTCCTATATACAAATTTTTACCCTCGCACCTAAAAATGTCGCCTTATCATGGGTCTTACGATTCGTGTCATACAATCGATATTTAAGTGTCATAATAACAAATCTTATAAAATATATTATATACATTATAAATTTTTGGTACCACAGAAGTGATTTGTAAAAAACGTGTTCTCACTGTTGTTCGGTGCTCTCTACAATGAGCATGATGGACTGCTGGGGACCGGCGTCTGTCGCTACGCCCCTCACACACTCCACCTGGTGGGAAGCCCAGTCTTTGCGCTGACAGAACGTCGTGCAATAGGGTGTCCTCCGACATAAGGAACACTCTGCGACGGCCTCGCGATTGCAGTTTGCACACTGAAAAAAAACATCAATTTTTTGGATGTAACGGTCGAGATGTTGATATAAAACTCGCGAATTCGTATACCACTCAATATTTTGGAAATGAGATCGAGCAGAATAACTAAAATTTGACCAAAAAACATTTAAGAAATTTCCCAGACCAAAATGGAAGCCTTACATTAGCTTACATATATAATATATACATTATAAGGGCAAAAAATGCTAAAGAAAACAGAGACAAGATTATTTTTAACATATCACTTACTTTTTTCTGATTATCACTATCGAGCGCGGGTTGTAACGTAGAATCGTTATTGCCATCTGGCTGCAAAGCCGCGACCTGCGCCTCCACCCGGGCCGCCAGAACAGCCGCCTCTTTCTCCCTCTGGAACTTCTCTTCTTGCCTGCTGAGGGTTTCTTTCAGTTCCTCGATCCCCCTTCGAAAGTCCGTGGCGAGCCTACTTATCTGAATGGCCATATCTTCCAGTCGTTTCACCTGCGTGGAAGGATCCACGTTCCCCACGGGTTCCATTAGCTGGTAATCCGTAGAATCCAAGCCTTCGGCGAGGTTCTGCCAGGCCTCTTCTTTGGATTGTTGATCGCTGTCTTCACGTTTAATGGAATCGCTTTCTCTCTTACGTTTTCTCTTGTAAGGGGTAAATAGGCGGACTGGACCTGTAGCCGTCTCATCGTCACAACAAGCTGCACACGTGCAACTTGTCGCATGAGGCAAGATTATCCCTTGAAGAAAATTACTTTAGGGCTCTGCCCACACAAGTCAAGCAAGCAATATTAAGTTTTTTGAATGAAAGAAACAATTTGAGAGGAAAAGCACATGTAGTATACACATGTACATTATTTTCTAATACAATTAAAAAATATTTACTATAGTATATATCCAAATTAAAATAGTTTATGGGTCTTAAAAAGTACTTAAATGGTTACGATGAAGCAACTTAATTATTTGAATTTCGATAAATTTAACTTCTTTCCGGCACTTTTTTAAACTACAAAGTTTTCTGTAATTTTATATTATAGTTGACAAATAAATACCTTCGTCTATTAGAGTCTGCAAACTTCTTCCACCAAACCTAATACTTCTTTTCCAGTCCTTGCTTGAGGCTCTTCCACAAAGAGCTTCGAATTCACTGGGAGTGTACCAGGAATTTCCTAGTTTTATGCAACGCCCCCTACCTCCAGAGCCGAATCTGGATTTGTGTAATTCTGCGGATGTATTTTTGCACCTAACGGGTAAAACGGCTGCATTAGCTGCGTCGCTCCAGGACCCAACGACCGTTGGAGTAGTTACCGTGACAGGGTTACTCACAGCTGTGCCTCCGGAAACGTCTTCTTGTTGGATAACTATAGTTTTCAGCTCCCCGCCTGAGCCGTCTGTCGCCAAATAGCCATTGTTATCCACACATAGCATTGGTTTGAAGTGTGGAATTTGGTCTTGAGTGATGACATTGAAGGTGCTAGTGATGAGGGAACCAACGGGAAGAGACACGGGAACTCCTGCATGCCGAACGGACACGGCGGACACCCTCGCATTCTTCGTTTCCACAACAGAATCGCCATTATCGCCGCCATCGTGCTCGGTCGCAAGCTGTTCGGCTTCGGAAATGTCCGGTAGGACGACGCCTTCCGAGTTTGAGTTCTCCATAGCCAAAATCGGAGGTAGTTTATTATTTTTCGTTCGTTTTTACAATGTTTTTTCTTCTACCGGATTAACGAAAAAAAGGCTTTTCCATCACGACACTTCATTTGCGGATGATACCTCCTATACGTACCGTAGGTTACTGCATTGTCCGATACGTAGCAGGAGCAACGCCATGTGCGCATGAGTGGCGCCAATTTAAAAACGATAAAGTTCAAATAACTAAATCGGAAAATGAACAATTTCCTTTTTCAACGGGTAATATTAACAGACAAATAAAAGAAATTGTTCATTATATTCATTAAAATATGAACTAAACATGTTGAAATAATAACTTCTAACATTCAGTTTTGAAAGGGGAGGGGCCAGCGATAGCGTAGTGATTGTCTATTTGATAAACTTGTAGCTAAGTGTAAAAGTACAATTTGAGAATTTTTCCAAATTCAAAAGTACTTGCGATATTTTTTTACTTTTAATATATAAAAATGTATTTAGATCCATAAATATAAAATTATTGTTTACGTTATTGCTTTATAAGAATAAGTATCGTCGGGATACCTACAACAAACCTAACTGGGAAGAGGTAATCAATACAGGGTGTAAACAGAGTAACAAACTTTCAGTGATAACTCTCGTTAAAACAAATAAAAAAAGAAGAGTAACATTTTTTCTTGAAACCATTATATTATGGGATATAAGATTAATGTAGAAACAGTTTTTCAACAACGATTTGATCCAATTTTAGATCTCTTAACAGTTATAGCTACCTACCTGTAAAATTCGAACAGCTGTTTGCCAGTGGCGTTGGGTCGGGGTCAATGGGATGGAGAGGTTTTAACTGACAAAAAATATACATATGTGGTTGCAGGGGATCTTTTGCAGATTTAATGGATAATTTCCAAAAAAAAAAACATAAAGTTAAGCATGCCTCAGCAACGAATCAAAAGTCAATTACTTTCCTCTAAATTTTCAACTCAACCCAAATCTCTAAAGCTTGCTCTATGATGCCGCGATTGCTGCGTCAAATAACTTTTTTAACACTTGAAATTTCACGTATTATACACTTAGTTTGCAAACTCCGCCCAATAAAGGCGAGTTAAATTTATTCTATTTGGGAAAAAAACACGTGTTTTTCCAATTTTTAGATTATATTAGTTTTGTTCTTAGTGCATTAGAAACAGTTTCCAACAGTGATTTGATTCGAAACAATGAAATTTGAACCTCATGTAAGCATTATATCGTAATGCTCATGCGTTCGACTGCTGGAAAGTGTTTTTGGATTTCTCCTGGAGTAAAAGATTACTCCCATTTTTTTTAAATATATTTAAATACGAGACGAATTATCTTGACAGTTTGATGCTGAGGTTTGTCATTACTCCAGTTTTTTCGTCTCTTTTAACGAGACACAACGAATAATCCTGAAAATTTGTTGTATCTATCCCGTAGGTGTATGTTTTTAACTATTTTCAGGTAATCATTTTTGATTTTTTCTGCGTCAAACTGTTTTACAAACAACTTGGTGCTGTACGTTCATTCATGTGAGTGCTAAATACTTTAAGAAAATAGTTAAATTTAATAAAATCACCAGGTTTAGCCTAGAAATATATTTTTATTTCCTTGTGATTTGCATTTAATCGAAAATTGATTCGTGGGAAACCCGAGTGAATTTTCGCAACAAACTAACTTTTATAACGGCTTAGCGCAAGGGTCGGCAAGTAATTTTAAGTGCGGTCCGGATACTTTTAAAAATTTTTAACGAGGCCCAGAAAAAAATTTATATTTCTTACAAATTTTCATTTAAACTCAAATTTAATCTGCTTACTAACCATTAAGAACTCAAAACACTCACACAATTGTAAAATACTAGAAAAAATGATAAGGATGGCACTCAAACGTAAAAAAAAACATTTTTTAAATAATTTATTTGAGTAATTTATACTTTCAAAACATTTTTGGCGGTCCAGTATTTTACCTTCCGTGGTCCGGACCTGGACCGCGGTCCGCCAGTTGCCGACTCTTGGCTTAGAGGATAATTTTTTACTTTATTTGTTTAATAATTCAATAAAATTATAAAGAAACACATTTTCATGGTACATTTCTATTTTCACCGAACAACAACAACAATATTTCAGTATAATCACAATTATCAAAAAAATATAGAATTAAAACAACTTGTTTCTTAAAAATAAGTAAACATCGACACCCAATTATAAAATATTACAAATTTTATAAAAAAACATCTTTAAGGCACTTATAAATTGGCCTTGGTGCGCTGAACCACTTTCAGGCCCTCTGCAATTCTTTCGCTCAAGTTCTTGTCGACCTGCGCGAAATTCCTGACGCATCTGTCTTGAATGAAGGCGGAGGCTGCCGAAAGATTATTAACGATGTTGGAAATTAGTCTTTCTTTCGCAGCGCCGTCCAGTACCCCGTGATAGAAGTCCCTGGCCTGGGAGAAGTTGTCTTGGTCTCCAGTATCGTACCTGTAAATATAATTTGAGTTATTATAATTTTTTTTACTACCAAACCCATAATTAACGTACCTGTAAGCATCTCCAGCGACAGAAAACGGTTGATACAGAGTTTTAACGTCCTCATCAACATCGGGACCACCGAAACTATTAGGGTGATAATTCGGAGCATTTCCTTGGTTGTTAAAGCACATAGGGCCATCACGCTGGAAATTCCTAACTTTGAACGGACAGTTAACCGGCAACTGCAAATAATTCGGACCCAGACGGTGCCTGTGGGTGTCCCCGTACGCGAACAGTCGACCTTGCAACATCTTGTCGGGCGAAGGCTCGATGCCGGGCACCAAGTGTGCTGGCGAGAAAGCGATTTGTTCCACCTCCGCAAAATAATTCTCGGGATTGCGGTTAAGCACCATTTTTCCGAATTTTATCAAGGGGTAGTCGGCGTGAGGCCAGATTTTCGTAAGATCGAAGGGGTTGAATTTGCAAGCGGTGGCTTGCTCGGGGGTCATTATCTGGAGGTAGTAGGTCCAAGACGGATATTGGCCGTTGGCGATGGCGTTGAATAGGTCTCTGATGGAATAGTCGGGGTCGGTTCCCGACAGCACCTCGGCTTTTTTGACGTCCAAATTTTTTATCCCCTGGTCTGTTTTGTAGTGGAATTTGCAATAGTGTACCTTGCCCTCTTTATTAACCAGTTTGAAAGTGTGGGAGCCGTAGCCGTTCATGTGTCTGTAACCATCAGGAATGCCTGAAGAAAATAACACAATTTTATTCAAATAAAACCTACAAACTTTGGAAATTATAACAAACTGAATTATTATTCACATTGAAATGATGATAATGAGATAATAATATTCGAATAGCTACAATGTAATGAGAAATATTCCGTTTGTACGCAATTTTCTGTGCAACATTCATTTTTTTACGTACCTCTGTCAGCAAACAAGAACAAAAACTGGTGCATGGTTTCCGGCCTCAACGAGTGGAAGTCCCAGAACATGTCCGGGTCCTTCAGGTGCGTCTGGGGGTTCCTCTTCTGCGTATGGATAAAACTAGGGAAGAAAATAGGATCCCTAATGAAGAATATCGGCGTGTTATTCCCGACAAGATCCCAGATACCATCCTCGGTGTAAAACTTAACGGCGAAGCCTCTGGGATCCCTCACCGTGTCCGCAGATCCCGCCTCCCCTCCCACCGTGGAGAACCTCACGGCCACGGGGGTCTTCTTCCCAATGGTGGAAAACACCTTGGCAGCGGAGTATTTGCTAATGTCGTGGGTAACCTCGAAATAACCAAAGGCTCCAGCTCCTTTGGCGTGGACGACACGCTCAGGGATCCTTTCGCGGTCAAAGTGGGCTATTTCTTCGATGAAATGGTTGTCCTGGATTAGGACCGGGCCCCTTATACCGACTGTCATGGTTGCGTCCTTCTCGGGGATGCGGGTTCCGTGGCTGGTGGTTGCGACATCGTTCTGAAAAAAAGAAATTGAATATGTTCAGTGAATTATGTAAATTTAAATGAAGCAAAGGTTCAACTATAATAAACAATGAAGATTTCATTTGCATGAGTTCCTATTCCCCCCCCCTAGCTACGCCACTGTTATTAAAACAAAAGAAGAATGTAACTTTGCCACGATTTAGCCGTTTTTGTTTTTATTTAGCATTCCATATAAATAGGAATTACACAGCTAGATGTTGCAAATTCTGACCAAATCTTAAATTAGAAACATAGAGTTTTACAAAAGATAATTTTTTTATATGTAATAACTTTAAGATAAGATTCGCTTAATAATTCAAAGTCATGGTCAACTGTAATCATTCTGTGGTTAAAAAATTACAGAGGTGTCACTATTTGAAACAAATTTTTACTAGAGTGACTTGAAATTCAAATAAGTATGCCGATTTTTGCAGTGAATACTAGGAATCTCTTAGAGGCTATTAATTACTAACTAATTATTAAGTTTAGTGCACAAAATAATTGTTCTAAATGGTGTTTGCTGCGGAGCTAATTCGTGACGTCATTTAGTGCTATCGAGAAGATAATTGACAGGACAGGACTCGATAATGACCATAATAAGTCACAAGTCTAGAAACAGCCAATTAATGTTTTGTTTCGAAGCTCCCCACATGCGTTTCTTTAGATTAGATCCGAGTAGGAATCAGAACACCCTGTATGTTTACATAATTTAATTTTCTAGAAGCCAAGGTCAAAAAGAGAACGATTAACGATTAACCGAAAAAAAATTGGGTTTAAAAAATATTATAGTCATAAAAAAATGTAAGCAATCGATTAGTAGCAAGATAAAATGATATTAAAGTCAAATATTGTACATTTATCGCATTTTATCTCATATTATTTAACATAACAAATATTTTTAGTTATATTTACACATCCATTACGACTTTCGGCAGTAACGCGATTTTATTTATAGATGTAAATATATCAAGGTCATTTATTTTCTTCCAACGAGTGTACGCTATACAGAACGTTTCAAAACGGAAAATAAAAAATATTAATTTAATATGAGGAAAATTAAGTATTTTTATTTCATTTAGGATTCCCAAAAGTCGACGTCAGAAAAATATGGTACGTAGATAAAAAAATTCTAATAGAAATGCTAATACACGATAACTATCAATTAACACAAAGCAGAAATATTTAAGAAAAAACGTAGTTCCATGTTTGTTCCAACATTTTTTATAGTCGGTTATAATTTTCATTTATTGATCTATTTACTAAATTCATTAACACGTTGAATTTATTAACCAGGTGTTTCAGGTTTTCAGAAAAGGTAATTTTATCAGCAGACTTCCATTAAACAGCAATTATGGCTTTGTTTTTCCATAACTGGAAAGTTATAAGGGTATGGCTTCCGATCACTTTTGAAAGTAGAACATTAAAAAAATTGTGAAATAATAGAAAACACCCAAAATTGATTAGTTTTTGAAAATCAGTCTCCAAAAATTTTTTATTATTCTCTGGTACATGTGTTGGCCCTATTAATCGATCATTATCATTACGAAATTCTTTTGACTGGTTAGTGGTTACATTCGAAAACGGGGATCGTACATATGTAGGTATAAGTTACTCAATAGATTACGTGAAAGTGTAGCGCAAAAGTGGATCGCCAAACAGGTTCATTAAATTGGACGCATTGTCGTTTAAAAAAGTTGATCACTGTAAAATTTAAGATATCAAAATATATTTCGAACTAATTCAACGATTTTTACAGACCCGCTTTGTATTATTATTTTATATTTCGCTCATATAAATGTACTATTTGAATTTGTTGTGATTATCTACATAAGTGCCTTTTATTTTACATCGACCTTTGTGATACACGCGAATGACTTGCATATAGTTAAAATAATTTGTGTTAATGAGGAACCAAATAAGGCGACGCTGCATGCAAAGCGAATTTAATTATTGTACTTAGACCTTTACGGACAATATCAGCATTGGATTTGACAGAAATTAACAGATGTTCGCCTATTTTTGGGTAATATGGAATACCTGACGCGAATTCTATAGACGGATTTGAAAGAGCGTTAAAAACCAAGTAACCGTTCGGATATTTATTAATCAAATCATCGGCAATTGCATAATTTAACGGTTCATGCAAATTTCGCATTGACGCTATAGAAGGTCATGTTTAAAGTCAAGTTCAATCATGTGGCGGAGAATCAGATTATATTTCGGAAAATTCTTATCGTGTTGTTGCACTAAACTTATTCCAGGCGTGGATATTACGTAAAATATGTGTATTTTAAGATAAGGTTCACAACAACTTTCAAAAAAAATCTCAAACATCAACATCTAGCATTCCCGATAGCCGTAATCGCTTTGAGGCGCCTTTCTTGGATAAGATACCCGAAAAACTGTATTACTTATAGCTGTTTTACATGGACAATTTATTCATGAATAAATTCCCCAAGTTCTTCATGAATTAATTCACAAATTTATTTGTAAATGGTTTGGTTTTACACTGCTACAGGCTTCGTGAATTTCTTTAACACACGAATCAGCTCTACCAACAATCAAAGAAGCAAATAAATTTCAAAAATGTCACCTTTCCACTCATAATTGTAGTGATACAACAGCGGTGCCGTTTTGACACATTATATTATATAAATATTAGTTTTTGTAAGTAAAAGCTGTTTTACATTGACAATTTATTGACCAATTAATTGATGAAGTCGCTTCATCAAGAAATTGGACAAGTGTAATGCACCAAAACTGCTGCCAAATAACTTCATCAAAATATTCATCAAGTTCTTGAAGAATTAAAGCTGTTTTACATTGACAATTTATTGATCAATTAATTGATGAAGTCGCTTCATCAAGAAATTGGACAAGTGTAATGCACCAAATCAGCTGTCAAATAACTTAATCAATTTATTCATCAAGTTCTTGACGAATTAGAGCATGTTCTAATTTTCGTCAATTTGTTCGTGAAGTTCGGAAGTACCAACCCAACAGATTTCCACCCTCAGATCAGTAATGAGGTTATGTTATTGGAATATGTAAATAATTGTGTGGCGTCGTGCTAGTTTTGCATTGTTTTTATTGATTTGTTATTTACAAAAACTAATATTTATATAATATGTGTTAGAACGGTACCGCTGTTGTATCACTACAATTATGAGTGGAAAGGTGACATTTTTGAAATTTATTTGCTTCTTTGATTCATTGGTAGAACTGATTCATACGTCAAAAAGCTTGACAAAGTCTGTAGCAGTGTAAAACCACACTGTTTACCAATAAATTCGTGAATTAATTCATGAAGAACTTCGTCAATTTATTCATCAATAAATTGTCAATGTAAAACAGCTATAGTAGTAATAGTTATTTGACAGTAGATTTGATGCATTACACTTGTCCAATTTCTTGATGAAGCGACTTCATGAATTAATTCATCAATAAATTGTCAATGTAAAACATGAAATGAAGGGCATACGAGTTTAGCTTAATAGTGATAACACTGTTTATTTGACGTCACTGTACGTCAATAAAAGAAGAAAAAAATGCGCAATAAATCAACAGTAACTGTGAAATTTTTTGAAATTTTAAATAGGCCAAAGACGTACCATCAACTTTCTTAATACTCATGGGAATTATTGTAATTATTCATTTTTGGGTAAAAGCTATTTGTACTTACAATTAGTTGTTTACACTAATCTATTCAATTTACCGATAAATATTTTTCCTAAATATAAAATGTGTACTTGTTTGTTACCGATAAAATGAATTGTTTGCGAGATAAATACATTAAGCGATGAAGGAATCATCCTATTTATGGGATATTTTGGTAGTATTATACTTACATATATTATGACGCATATAAACTCTGCAAAAAAATTCAAGGGGCAGCAATATTTCTAAATTTTTTTAGTGATTTTTGAAAGGCTGTAATTTCATGAATAATGGTTGTATCGAGAAAAAAAGGCGCATCTGGAGGCTTGAAGATTTTAGTTTTGATATCTTGAGATGAAAAATTTAATAATGCAAGATAAAAATTTGTTTCTGGCTTAGTCAATGCCAGTCATTTAGCCTGATTCATCAGCTTCAACTTTTCACTCAATATCCGATATCTCGATGAGAAATACAGAAAATAAAAAAAAATAAATTGAAGCTGTCGAATGGCTGGAATGAGGCTAAATGATCCTGCTATTAATTAAGCAAGAAAAAAAATTTCTGATCCCATGTGGTTTTGAAAAAGAAGAAAAAATAAATTTTTGCCTTGCATTATTTCTTTTGACTGCGCCGAAAGTGATGCTCAAAAAAATTTTCAAAACTAGAATCTTCAAACTTCAAGAAGCTTCTTTTTTTCTCACTAAAAAAATTTGGAAATTTTTCTGCTCCTTTATTTTTTTTTGCTGAGTGTATCTACCTCTAACATTTGTAACGTATTGTATTGTACTGTAAAATATTAATATGAATGGCATTATTCTTAATTTGTCGATAATTTAAATTAAATTTCTCCAATAGGCACCTTTGATATTTGCAGATCATTTAATGAAAAAGATTAAAGATATTAAGCAAAAAAGAACGAACTACTAGAATTATAATTAGAAATAATTTTATAGAATTTAAAGAATAATTTTAACGTTATGTATCTTTATAATAATATTAATTTCAGATACATAAACATTTAATAGGTATATTTAAAAATACGATATGATTTGACCAACCCGTTACCTACAAGATAATGCAAATATTGTAAAAGGTACTAAGGTCGAAAAGTATAAAGCGATTATTTATATTTTCATAAATTCGCATTAAACCAAATTGTTTAGATAACAATTTTATCTAACTTGTTTACAATCTCGTTTCTCTTACTAGGTAAAGATGAGTAAAATCGCATTGCATTACACGCAAATTTTTAGAGTGCCATTAGTGTTATCTTATTTTCTACAAAAAAAGCTGTGGTTAAACATTAATAAAAACAAACCGACAACTATCATATTAGTTGAGCTTTTTTAAAAGCACGCGGAAAATAAAAGAAGAAAACAGGATGCCAACAAGACACTGTAACCGCTGCGAAGATTCGCGACAACGACTATTGCCCTCATTCAAGGCTAAGTCCCTGATAGGAAATATTTATTTCCCTACAAATCTCATTCATAACAGGCGTAAATGATGATTTACCCAAGTTTATACAAGGTGTCCCATGATTAGTGTGCAATACATTAGCAATAGATTCTACGATCAAATATAACATTATTTTTTCCTATAAACAAGGGTCGAAAAATGCTTCCTAAAGGAGCTACGCCCCTCTAAAAGGGGCTTCAGGATCAGGAGATCATATTTTTCAAAATATTTCCAAACCAGTTAACGTATGATAAGATCTCCTGAGGCCCCTTTTAGGGGGTCGTAGCTCCCTTAGGAAGCATTTTTCGACTCTTGTTTATAGGAAAAAATAATGTTATATTTGATTGTAGAATCTACTGCTAAAGTATTGCACACTAACTATGTGACACACTGTATAAACGATCCCTATAAAAGTAAAAAAATATACATAATCCATAAATCGAATCGTTGTCCATTCTTTTTCATTAACTGCATTCTATATTAAGGTTCATTAACATGTAACTCCTAATTGAATTTCCAATTATGAAGTATTCATAAATGCGTAGCAGAATAAGCAATGAAATAGCATTTTTTCTTATTTATTTCGCTATAAAGAATGTATGTAAAAAAATGTAAATTTTAAGCTGTTTGATCAATTAGCAAAAATAAGAAATTTTATACAAGTTTGAATTACAAAAATAGAGGCCTTGTTTCTCAAAAAAAAATAGTGGCTTGTTTTTCAATAACTTAACGATATCCTTCACCATGACTTTGATGCATTTATAGTAAAATAAATATGTTACTTGCATGTTTAATTACTTAAATAACAAAATAATAAAAACATTGAGCGTTATTTTCCAAAGTCTACAAGCTAATATGCAGGCATACATATATCATTTTTATGTAACTACGATTTAAGTACAACAATAATGTAATCTACTAACACGCAATATTAAAAAAATAATTGCACGTGCGATATTTAAATACAATAGGCGCAAAAGTACAGAATTGCAAAAATGAACAAAGCAGAACTAAACATATTTTGATACTGATATATGTAATTTTCTGCGAGATAAAATCGAGAAGAATTATTACTCCACATCGAAAAATAACATCGTAATATTAGAAAGAGGAAATTGATATTAATTAATGTTATGCATTTATGTACCTTACCTTAGAGATGATCGTGTGAATAACTAAAACAAGTATTTGAATATAATGCCACACGTGTAAACTTAAAAGAATAATTGATAATCGCATATATCAAAACGTAAAAAATATTAAGTATTTACCAAAGGACATACATTATATATTAATAATATTAAAAGAATAAAAATACTGTTAATGTATACAGGGTCTAATACAACTTCTAGAAGTTACTTCTTTGTGATTTGTGTTCTGTTTTTCTGTCACACAAAATATTGAAAAAATACAAAATAGAAGTTGAAAAGTTAAATTTAGTTTTAACTTCTTGGAAAAATAACTGGGTAAAAATCATGTTTCAATTGACCACACTTTAAAAGAGAAAAGAAGCTACCAAGGAGCTGCTTTAATTTTAATTTTTATAATTTTGAAATAAGGACGTTCATTATTATTTATTATTGTTAATGCCTCTTAAATATTGTTAGAAATTTTAGTTATTTCAAGCAAATTTATTTATTAACAAAATTCTGTGTACGTCCCTGCTATTTAGCTAGTTATTTGAATTTTAGTTCATATTAAAATACCTAATTTTATAACATAATGAAAATCATTAATTTCACAGTAAAATGCAACGAAAAAGATCGTGAAAATGTAAACATTAAGAACGCATATAACCTCAAATAGGTTCATGTAAACAAAAACAAAATCTTACCTGACTTAAACTATTTTTGTAATCAACAAGTTGGTTAGTTGCTTTGTCCCTTGTAGCCATTTCTATGTGTCTAATCGTATAAAATAATGCAGTAATAAAAAATAAAGAAAACTGATACAATTAACACAACACAGCTAAAGAACAAACGCAAAAAGTTTCTGAAACTGTCGCACTCCGGTTTATGCTTATATATCGCCGGGTTTATCGAGTGAAGTGAGGTATAGAGCACACGTCACACGATAAACGTCATAATTATTGTATATACCAAATCAGTGCAGTGGCGTAGCCCAATATCGATATACAGGCTAAAACGTCTAAAACAATTAGAAAAAAAAACACAGTAAGCGTTTCTTTCTGTTCAACATTTAAATATTAGGAGGAGGCTGTGACCAATCTTTATTTTTAAATGTTTGAAAATAAAAATTATAAACTAAAATTTCTACTACCGATTTATCAATACCGCCACATTTCATGGATTCTATTTTCTGCATTGGTGATTATATACTGGCAGTTAACTACATAAATATTTCTCAAGTTAAATATATCAGGCATCATCAGAATCAGAAATCAGACCATAAATAGTAGATATAAGAATAAGATGTACTTACGTTCAAAGAAACCCTATGTAGTTCTGCTGAACACGTACACATTTGAACACAGCACTTGAAGGCCATATTTATTTTATTTTTTAATTATTTATTTTTAAAAATTAGTTGATTTATCAAAATTCCAAAATTTGATAAACCTTTACCAAATCTCTATATCTATCGTATACTTCATAATCATTGAGCATAATTTTAAGAGAAACGATAACTTTTATCTAATCAAGGATCAAGGATTACATCTATTGACCATAAATATTGGTACAGTCTATACTTACATCAGTTCTAGGTAATTACTAACGTGAAATATTAAATAATTTTTTTTTCTAGGTAGGTACCTATGCAATATTTGTTGGTTTAACAAATTATCTATCTTGTTATGCTAAAAACAAAATTAAATTATAAAATTTCGTTATCACTAGAATGGTAGGTATTATCCTAGATCAAAAGGAAATGAGAATTTTCATATGAAAACATGTTTTTTTTTTATCTACGTAAAGAAATTTAAAAACCATAAATAATGTTTATCATTCTCTAATTAATAAAATATATTTGTTTCTAGAACAACAAATAAGTTATTGTTTAATCTAATCTTGAAGATAATATGGATGTATGGTAGGCAACACTAAATACTCTGATGCTGTATCGGCATCAGCATCTAACAAACAGATGTAGATTTGGTTTAGAATTTATAGTTTATTTACGTTTGTATGCTTAAAATGAGATATAAATAAGAGCTAAATATGGCTCTTGTCAAAACATCAATATTTTAAAAAATATTTTACTTTTAATAGTTACTTTGCGGGAAGCTTATCCATATGAATAAATTTATTTACACATATGAGTTTATCTACAGTACCATTGAGAAAAAGGGTGGCAAGTTCAATGGCTCTCTTTCCATTTCGATACTGTCACCTTATAGATAATTTAGGTGCTAAAAATGTCCTTGGGTATCCTTCATATAGCCATATGAAAAACGAAATTAATAAAGTAATTAAAATCAGAAGCAATTGTTGATTAAAAAAAATGCAGAAAAAAGGTCAACATAATCCAAAAACAAAACAAAATGAACCAACAAAACGCCGAAAAATGAACACATTTTAAAATTATTTTCTTGTAAGGTAAAAAACAGGCGGTGGCGAAGTAAACTTTTTTAAAGAAATGATATTATATAAAGGGGTTAGGTATCAACTTACCAAATTCTTTTATAGCGAACCATTTTGAGCATAGCTTTCATAGGAATATTTCCGTAAAGGTGATTCTCTTTATTTCACAGGAATTTTGCATTTTCCTTGTGACGCAATTTTGTTAATATTTTTGCGCTGCTGGATTTTTCGTTCTTCCTAATTACATACTACATATTCGTCAGTCATTCTCATCTACCTTATAGTTGCCTTCCTTTTGTCTTTTCCTAGAAACAATAACTTGGGAACCCCCAAACCTTACCTCTTTGTAATATGAGAAATCTCATTTAACGTATAACTGATTCTGGGAATCCAAATTAGCTGGAGATAATTTTATCTAATCTAAAATTCGAAAGCTGATATATACATATATACCTACGATACGAGATACAGTTAAGTAGAATGTACTCAAAACCTTGATACGAAACAGTTCAGCGATATTCTCAGGGAAGTTACTTATAAGTTCGAGATATGTCTAATGAGGTACTCGAAAAAATTGTCCTTAAGCCTCCCATAGACCTAATACCAGACGAGTATGAAATAAAGGAAGGGATTGCTGTTCATACATTTACTACCAGTAACACCGAGTATGAAGAAGTCAAATTATTTATGAAGACTTTGAAAGGAGACGGTTATAAGGAAAATATGCACTGTTTGGATAACGAAAATTTCAAAGACCTTATTAAGAACAGTAAGTTTTTATCTTTATCTTCTTAGAGTATTAAAATCTAGTACATTTATTCAAAACATTTTCCAATTACGCTACAACGATATATAAGATATATTTAGTTAGAATATTATATATCTGCTAGTCTACATAGACAATTTATTCGTGGTTGGAGAGATTATTACTGTTAACATAATTATGATTTAATTCATGAACAAGAATTTTCACTAAAACATTTTTATTTTTCAGTTTCATTGTCAAAAGTCTTCGGTGGTTTTGTAAGACGCTACTTTATCATTAAATGTTTCAGATAAACGTTAATTCTTAATCCTCATGATTATTTAAAACTTAAACTTGAAAATAATGTGCAGTTCTGCAGTTTTTAAATTTTATAGAGAATAAAGCGTAAAGGTCCTGCGTCTGTTATTAATCTTATCTTATACATTTTTAGTCACCAATCGAATTATTGATTTGGATTAAAAATTACGCAATGATTGGTTAATATAAATTTCATAGAAAAGATTGCGATAAAAAAAATTATTAATAGGTCAAGTCAAGCATAAACTAAAGAAAAGGATAATATTAGAGAAAAAATTAAACAAATATCAGAAATTTATTAAGGCTTTTTGAAAATTCTGAGTTAATCACATCTCATCACATCATACTTTGCCAAGTCAATATCGTTGGCTTTTTAGGTAGGTATTAGATTTATTTATTTCAAGAATGCATCAATTGAAGTCTGCATGGAATGGTGTCAGATAATTTTTTTATAATTCAGTGTATTATGACGATGTAGTAACTCACACAGTTTGAGCATTTTTAATTTGGTTTATTTGTATTTGCTTATAATAAAATTCAACTTTGATTTTATGTAGGTATATAGTTTTACAAGTAGTATTAGACACATATATTGGACATTGCCGGTTTTCATAATAAATGATATCATTAGCTTTGTTATATCATTATTAGTATATTTCTTTTATAACCATTTTCCTAATAGACCAGGACGGATCTGTTTTGAGGTGGATGTGAGAGGGGGCAAACAAATTTTTGCTGGAATACCTTCAGTGCAACTCACATAATAAAAGTGTCGATGCGAGGTCCGGAACATTTTCAAAATTACAAAAATGGTTTAAAAATTTTTAAAAAAATATCTATTTTAACTGTGTTTTTTACTTATATCTTGGAACTTATGCATTTTGGAATAATATTGAAGAGGAAAAAGTTTTAGAATTGAATTTTGCACAATATACTGTAAGTTAAAAATGTTTAAATTGATTACCGATGTTGCAAAATAGCAATAATTGTTGAAAAAAAGGCAATTTTTGAATAATTTTTTAAAAATATTTTAATTGCTCCGAGGTCATTATAATTTTGGTAAAAAAAAATTAGAGTATAATAAAACAATACACCAAATTTCATTAAGATCGGTGCTATAGTTTTCGAAAAATAATTTTTTTAAATAAATGTTGAAAAAAATTTTTCGAATTTTCAAAATGTTGCACAGCCTCAAATAAATTATCTAGACACCTGAAAAATTTTTTCACATGGAAAAGACTACTCAACCTTTCAAATGGTTTCTAAAAAATTGAAATCGGTTGATTAGGACGGCCACAGTATATTTTTAAAGTTAACACTCTTTTTTTTATTTTTAAACAATTAAATTGCATTTATCAATTTGCAATTTAGTTTTTTCAAAAATTATAATTTTAAAGTACTATTTTTTCTTAACTGTCTGTATTTGACAATTTAAAATTAAAAAAAAATTAATTTGTTTAAACAAAAGTTATTTAAATAATTGTGATAATAAACTTTGTTTATACCAAAATATGTGCAAATTAGACAGTTGGCATTACGATATTCGAATTCCTTGGTTTGCGAGATATCGAATTAAAAAAAGATTGAAATTCCCCACTTTTCGTGCTTTGAGTCACTTTTCCCGCTTGCGAGCGACAGTTTTTCCGAATCTATGTTGCCGATAACTTATGGATATGAAAATTTTTTCCAGCTTAGAACTCGGGAAAACTAAGCCAATGGATCAAAGATTATTGGTTAATTTTTTATAAATTAACGGTAAATGCCGATAAACTTTGACCGCGTAGGTATATCTCGAGAACCAATAACTTTTTTTTAAAAGAAGTGTCTTTCCGAGTACTTTAAAATTATAACTTTTGAAAAAAACTAAATTGCAAATTTATAAATGTAATCTAATTGTTTAAAAATTAAAAAAGGGTTTAAAAATTTACTGTGGCCGTCCTAATCAACGGATTTCAATTTTTCAAAAACCATTTGAGAGGTTGACTGGTCTTTTCTATGTGAACAAATTTTCAAGTATCTAGATGCTTTATTTGAGGCTGTGCAACATTTTGAAAATTCGAAATTTTTTTAAAAAAATTTGTTGTGTTGATTTATTATACTTTAAAGTTTTCTTTACCAAAATTAGAATGAAAACTTGTTTATTTTGCCATCGGTAATAAACTTAAACATTTTTAACTTACAGCATATTGTGCAAAATTCAATGCTAAAACTTTTTTTCCTGTTCAATATTCTTCCAAAATGCATAGGTTCCAAGATATAAGTAAAATACTCGGATAAAATAGGTATTTTAAAAATGTTTTTAAACATTTTTGCAATTTTGAAAATGTTCCGGACCTCGCCCAGATCTAGGGATCTACACTTTTATTATGTAAGTCGCACTGAAGGTATTCCAGCAAAAATTAACTTGTTCCCTGTTACATTCAAGAAGTAGGATATGAATTCATCGTTGCTATTGCCTTTTAGTTTATTTTTTATTGAACTTATAGGTATTATTTTCAACTATATTTCTCATTTGATTTCAGTAAATAGTAAAGCAGGAGACTCGAGTGGACTGATATTGTTTTTTTCTTATTACTGCAAGGAAGATGGAATGATTAACATATTCGATGGAGAGAACATTAAAAGTATACCAATTCAAGACATAATAATGGAATTCACTGCTTACACTTGTCCTGGTCTGAAAAATAAACCCAAAATATTTATATTTCATGTAAGCCACCTCTAAGAAAATTTAAAAAATATGTTTTTCGATCTTTTATAGGTTTTTTTGAATACTAATGTGTATTTATTTCAATACAGGTAAAGTTGCTCTCGACGTTACAGACTGATTCTAGACAGTTCGGAAGTACTTATGACGTAACCTATGACACACCTGGGGAAGCTGACATATTAATAGTTTATAAAAAAAGTGAAAGTAAGTCTCAACTGTTAATCTTAAAGTGCCATTACTGCTTGCTCCTTACATGTTTCTCTTCCAGGCAAAGGTGCTTTGGATTTTATACAAAAACTCTGTAAGAACATAAACGATTATGGTGAAGTTGAGGATATAGTTAGCCTAGTAACATGTGTGGAGTCAGCACGGAACGATTCCAGACCTTTAGTTGTATCCACCCTCACCAGAAAATTATTCTTATTCCCAGGCGAACATAGAAGCCACTATTTCCATATCAATCAACATCAAGAGGAAATCGCGAAGCATCTCGACGATATTAAGAGCAATCTTTCCAGGGTGAAAACTACTGGAAAAGCAAAGAATTCTGCTAAAGGGAGGGTGGGAGGAGTAGGGACTGCTAAACAGAAGGGTACTGGGAAGACCGCGAGTACTCCCAGCTCTTCAAATGTGCCAAGGTCTACAACGGAATCAGATAGCGGTGGAGATGGAACAAATATCGGCTCTAGAAGCCAGCTAGCATCTGCAACAACATCAGATGGGGATGCAGTTACTCGTAGATCAAGAAACAGGTTGACATCGAAATCCAATGCGAACCTGACGGATAAGAATGATCCTGATACCAGACCACCATGGAAATATTAAATTAATTAGATTATTTATTCAGGATGTAATTTAAAAAATTACTTCTGGAGGTACCTACTATATGTACGAGGTGTCCGAAATTACATTAGCCAAACTTTTCCGGGTCATAGAACCCCTCGAAATAAAACAAAAAGTTCCCATAAATTTGGTCCAGAAAATGCTCTGTTTCCAAAATTCACACTTTTTTATCAAAATTCAAGTACAGACCAGGTAAAACTGGGTAGTTTTGGTAAAATTTTGCGGCATCTTTCTTAGTCTGACACACTTTCATTTATTTATTTAAACAAAAATGTTATCCATTTGCGAGTACAAATGACAAAACTAACGAAATAATCGAATTGTTTTTTATTAGGCAACACCAGTAAACACGTTTTTAACATAAAAAAATCCAAACAAATCCAAAATAAAGGACAAAAGTGAAACATATTTGCATGGGCGTAGCTAGGGGGGCAGGGGTGTGTACGGCACACCCCAAAAAAAAATTTAAATAAAAAAAGAATCAAATCAAAACGTGTTCAAATTTTATATAGGCAAGTCGCTGATGGCGAGAGCTTGGGGCTCACCACAAGCAAAAATTGTAGCTACGCCCTTGCATATTTGTATATTTTGTTTATCTTTAGGGCTTTTTGAACAGTCAGAAATTTTAACTTGAACTTCGGACACATGTTTATGGGAACTAATTTTTTATATTTTGGTCACCAGGTAAAATTTAACGCACTTTGGTACACTTGGTATATACTATTGTTATTTTTTACTTTGCTATGTATTCCAGTTTCGATAAAATTTGTATTTTGTGCTACACATTGGATTTGATATTTACTCTATTAATAATTCTGTTGTTATTTTATCGATTAATACATTTTATTCTACTAGTTTTTTTTTATTTTTCTATTATAAAAGTGAATTATTTAGATATTATTTATAAAAGGTTGATTATGGAGACGATAGGAAATAATATAATAGGAATTTTGGATAATCTACAGTCTTATCTTATAGGAAGATTTTATTTGTGTACATTCTATCTAACAATACAATATTGCCATCAATTTACAAACAATTCTGTAAAGTTGCAAAAGCCTTTACGGGATTGCAAGAAATTTACGACAAAGTTATAACAAAGAGGATATACAACATAAGAGGTTTCACTCAATACTAATTTCATGTACAAAGTTTAATTTTTTGCTTGGTGTTTTATGTGCCCGACGCATGCGCAGTAGTTTACAATTCATTCTTTAAAACAAGACCACGTTTCACGTTATATCATCTTTAATACAGAGCAGACCTCGCCCGTTTTAAAATTGTTGTTCATAAAATCTAAATTAATAGAACATAGGTATTTACTTATTACGCAGATAAAATATCCTAAAAGTTGTCCATTAGGATTTTAGGATCTTTAGGATAGCATTTCTACCGATTACACAACGACTATACGACGAATAAATAACCTAACCCGACTTATATACAACTCGGCACCTGTTCATGCGAAACGAAGTGTGTTCGTATGGTTTGTCGTTTACTCGTTGGCTAAACCGTCTCTGACAGAGAACTTTTCACCTATCTTTCGAAGGTTTCCGCCGCCGCGTACAAAACCGCTCCACACAGCTATAATCACCCCTACGGTGCAGCCTTCAGCCTCACCAGCGTTAATGTCACCATGAAGACAATTTAGATCCAAATTTCGGAAAAAAAAGAAATTCGAATACAACGCGAAATTCAGACTTGGAGAAGGAGAACATCCTGTACATCATTTAGGTATCTGGACAACCCAAGAAGATAAAAAAATTCTGGGAAAGGCTTAAACCAATATCCTGATTTCCAACCTGGATCCAGAAAACCGTCTAAAGCGGAGGAAACACGATAAGTGTCCGTAGAAGTTGCTTTGGGTGTGACCGAACGTCTACCCTGGGAGTTTGAAGTTCTTTAAAAAAATCTTGCCAAATGGAAAAGCCAATCTTGCTGTACCACGACAGCATATGATATAATTTGGGACTACTGAAAACGCAGCAATACATACATATTACATATTTATTTTTACATGTTAATGAATAATACAATAAGGTTATTTTAGTTTTGATTAATACGTTTTTTATGCCTGATCTGAATACGTCTTATTGTGTCTTGAGCATGTAGGCAAACATTTTGAAATTTACTTTCACGTTAAAAGTGTGTCGACGCTTTCCTTGATCTCTTTGACATGTTTGAGCACATCGTCATAGTAATTTCTGGACATTAGCACCAGTGCCCTGTCCTTGTTTCTGTTAAGGTAGAACTTCTTCGACAGCGTGGACATACAAACGGGCATCTGTTTTTTATTAACTCCAGATTCATGGTAGAAGTAATTACCGCAGACGCATTTCGTGGTTCTAGTTATTATGCTGAAAACATCGTCTCTTTTGCCGTAACCGGTGATGTTCTTGCACAATTCTTGGATGAACCATGTCCCCGTGAGAGAATTTCGATAGGAAACGTTTCCTGAAACAAAAAAATAGTTTATTTCAACATCAGAATTCGGAAAAACAAGATCTTGACTAACAAACGAGGAATATCCACAAGTAAGAGTACTGAGACTGATATTTTTTTAAAATCTGCAACATTTATATTTGTACGTAATTCCTTTCAATAATGATTCACCTTCGTACCTTCAATCGTGGAATATACTATCAACATATCAGGACCCAAATAAGTCTGAGAAAACGTATCACTCGGTACAATTTCAGAGGGTTCGTTGGTGATAAAAGTTTTTCGTGTAGTGGAAAAGCTGCCTCCTTTACAAGCCTAAAAATGAGACATTTTGTCAATAACATTCCCAAAAATATATTCAGTGTACAAAATAAATAATTATAACTTGTGATTTACCTGGAACACAAACATTTTCGGTTTATTTTCCAGATATCGGCAGTTTATGAAGTTTTTCCAGATATCGTTTGTAGTAAGCGAACTATTGTAGGTCAGTAATTTGTCCTTCTCCTTTCCATGAGTCAGAAAGAAAATTATAAGGCTATTGCAATCTTTCAAATTTTCATCCTCTGAAACTGAATTACAAATTACATTAAAGTGATTCCGGGGTGTTTATAAGTTTCCAACACGATATCTCAAAAACCAAAAGACATTTTTACAAAACTAAATATATATCCCTTGTTTTCGAGTCTAGTACTCAAGCTGCAGGTATTTATGTAAGATTTATGCACGGAAAAGAGTAAGAGTTATCTAGATAGTTTGGTACATTTGGCCCCGTGCATCTAGATATTCATAGGTGACGAATTGTTTTAAAGATAAAAGCATAAAAACAATTCTATCAAAAAATATCTTTATCTTATCATTTTTGAGAAAATATCGCAATTCAATCATCAGAAAATTTCGTACTGAACCTGATATTCTAAGAATTGGTAAGTATCTAGCACTCAATTTAATTACTTACAATTTACTTTTAAATTTATGTTGTAAATGTAACAACAACAACAACAGAGACTTCGTAAATGTCACAAACCACGTAACCATGCATCGTACTGGTAAGGAAGAATCCTTAAATCTTGGCCTCAACAATATTATGATTCGTTTACAATAAACAATGACAAACCGTTACATTTACGCTCGAGATAATGCGATCGCTAAGTGGTCACGTGACTTGTCGCTTATAATCTCGAACATTTGTAAGAAATGCACGTTTAATTTGCAATGCTAGAAGCTGAAAGTGAAACCTACTCACCTTGTTTTAGTTTTGCCTTAATTTCTTCTGGGGATGCGTTGTGTATAATGTTACTTTTTCCAATATTAAATCCTTGACGCTGCAAGCACTCTGTAATTTCATTGACATCCCTTCTAGTGCCTACTCTGTCTCTCTCATTCTCGAAGTTTTCTTGATTGAAAATCAGTACGAAGCCTGGGTCGCTTCCGTTTCGAGGATACTCGAAGGTATCTGTTAAAAAATGCTTTCTCTCGACGAATTTTTCTACCTCGTCCAAGCCAGCTGAAAAAAATCAGCGTATTGGTTGTTCTCCCTATACAGAGTGTTCCACGAGGAAGGGAACGAGCTTAAGGACACTTTCCTCGTAGAAAGTTATGTACCTAGACCTTGATCCGGAAGTGTACCGTTTCCAGATATAGCTCAAAATCTCAAATTAAAAAAAATAATAGATTGAGCACCCGTAGCGACTAATGTAGTACAGTCATTGAAGCTGAAAATCAGCTGTAACCTCCGAATTCTTTGAAACTGCGTGGAATTGCATGAAAATTTAGAATAAGGCTCATCTTAGGCTGAAGTTCAAAAGTGACATAAGCCCGATTGGCGCTCTTTGTTTTTTAGGGGTAAAAACTACCCCTAAGTGAAACAAATTGAAAAAATTAAGATTTAAGCATTTTATTGATAAAAATCTTGTTCAAGCACAGAGATTAAATAATGTTCCATGTCCTCGAACATGTTTTATGATATGTTTGATTTTTTCGACGCTTTATTTAACCCTTAAAAACTACCCCTATGCAAAAAATAATGATAAAAAATTACTTTTTAAAGATTTGGAATGAATAAATCGTGCAATTAATTAAAATAAAAGTTACCTTATAACTAATAAAAGAATTTTTCCCTTTCAACCCCTAAAAACCAGCCCTGTATTGACAAAAATGATAAAAAATTGCTTTTTAAAAGCTTGGAATGCTTTAACGGTGCAATTATTTAAAATAAAAATTCCCTCATTGCTTATGAAATAATTTGTATCTCATAACACTTTTCAACCCTTATAAATCACCCCGGTAGTAAAAAAATTATAAAAAATTACGTTTTAAATCTTGGAATGCTATAATTGTGCAATAATTTAAAATAAAAATTACTTTTGCCATTTTCAACTCTTATAAACTAGGTACCCTTTTACCAATATTAATGTAAAATATTTTTATTATAATCGATTTTTAAATATAATCAATCATAAAAAAATTGCTACGCTGCATATAGACAATCACACTAAATTTTTTTACTTATTTTATTTGTATAATATAATATATAATATATAAAAATGAGAAAGCCTATTCTCCTCCGAAAAAAATGTCATTGGTTTTATTACCATAACTCGGTTAATGTTGAAGCTATAGTATCCTACAAAAAACATTTTAAATATAATTTAAGAGCTGTAAAATCGTTTGGATATAAAAGTCCTTCGTTTTTCAAAAGGGAAAGGATCGAAGGGCTCGAGACAGGTCGTTTTTTCACTAAAATACTTCAAGCGGCGATATCTCCTTTATTTTTTATGCTATAGAAATAAAAAAACAACAAAATATTTGTTGCAAAAAAAAGCTACATTTTTGTTATCTATCATTTTTTACGTATCTTTCATAGTTTCAGAGTTATTATATAAATAAGGCAATTTTTTTTGAATAATGAAAAATTCGTTTTCAACTTTTACCGTACATTATTAAAAAATACGCATTCTAAACCGATCTAACTTCAGGATCGTATAAAAAACACTAAAACAAAACTAATTGTGAAGGTTCTACGGTTAATTTTAATTCTGATGGAAATGGTACAGCGTTTACTGCTCATTTTCCTTAAAAAATATGAGCAACCCATCCGTTTTTGACGATAACTCCTCCAATTTTGCTCTAATTAACTTTTAAAGTGCTCATTTTGAAGGTCTTTTTGAGTACTACAAAAAACTCCAGGAGCGTTATACACGTAAAGTTAATCCTTTTTCCGTTATTTGATCGATTCGAGTATTCCCCCCAATACAAGTCCCCTTCCACTAACCATATTTCGCTTTGTATAGGACGTACAACACTTTTTAAAAAACTATTTTCTTTGTCTATTTATAAGCTACATTTTTGTTCATTGCACTTTTTTTAATAAAATGTGTAGTTTTTGCGTTATTCGCGAAAAATACTTTGGAAAAGTATTTCCTCTCAAAATTCCAAATTTTCAATCGTGAATAACTAAAAAACTATTAATTTATCGAAAAAATTCTTCGAATATGTTTTGATTCTCTATCGATTTCCAGCGATATTTTTGAAAAAAATTTTCCACCCCCGAGAAGCGATGTTAATCCCCAACAGGGTGGAAGCGTCAATCAACGCTATGTCACTAATGTTCATTGACCCTTTCTCTAACTATCTGCCAAATTTCAAGTCGATCGATTCAGTTTCAAAGAATTCGGAAGTGAAAAGCTTCAATGACTGTACTAATGATGTAAAATAAAATTTTGTTAAAAGAAATAATACAAAATCTTTTTACGTTAAACTTTTTTTTCTTAGATCGTCAAATGTAATAATATATTTTCTTAAAGAAACCACACTTTTTCTATTTGAGAAAATTCTAATTTCGTTAAAACCTTAAAACAATAATAATATTTAATGAGGTGAAAAAATTTTGGGTTATCACAATACAACATTTTCCTTCCTATGTTGCGAAGTTGCGAAACATTTTTTTCTAATTGGTTCGAAATCGATATTTCCAACGATTTGCGTTGATAACGATAGCCAGATTAAATCTTACCGAAGTCAAAGACGTCTTCATTTACTGCTAGTGGAGTGGAGGATTGCGAAGGAGGAGAAACATTTACATTCGCGTCTATTTCTAAAGACATATTTAAAGTTATTCACAGTAGCAGTATTAACTCACTAAACAGTAAACTACCACAAATACACTATGTAGAAAAAATTGTTACATATATAGCAGACGTCTATTTATGAACCTTATCAGGTAATAATTTTAGATATGGAATTGAAAAGCTTTATCATTCTGATATCGATATATTTTTTCAATGTGAATCAGCTGTGAGCTCTGAGGTACAAAGTGCAATATAAGAGGAAAATATTATAATAAATAATGCTTAATAAAATAATTACTTATAGCTACTACTAAATAATTACGGCTTATATTAATTATTGATACCTGGAGTCATTTTCACCAATTTGTTAGCTGCAAAATAAAAGTCGAACGCGGAAATATCAGTTTTCGAAAATTTCCATTATTATTGTAAAAAGTATTGTAAATTTATTGAAAAGACGGTCAATCCGATAACCAACATGTGTGCCAAACGCCGATTCAATTGACAGTGAAAATGTTTCTCCAGCTATTTATTAATTAATTTCGTTGTCTTTTGCAATTAATTTTTAATTATTAAACGTTAATTTTAAAAGTTTATATCGTAGATATAGGTTCTAATTGACCTAAAGAAACGTATCGAAAAAGAAAAATTCCAAAAAATTGAAATTAAGTTGCCCTTTGTAACTAACAAAGTAGGACATGCAAAACAGCGTTATAAACAATTTGTCCTAGGGTCGGGCAAAAGCCGCTCGGGAATTCGCTCTTTTTGCATTAAATAGAGCTTATTTTTGCGGCGCTTTTCCTCCTGTATTCAGGCCGTTCATTAACGTTAATTTTTACTGCTGCTAGCGCGTTTATTACATGAAATATCAATGTAAAACTTTCTGAAAATAATAGTTTAACCCTTTCTTTAATTGTCTCCCCGCGAATACTGAAACTTTTTGTATTTTATAAACAATATTTTTATTATCTCTGAATGAAAATGAATTACAAAAGAGCATATATTTTTAAAGGGACAACTTTGTCCAGTCAAAGAAAAAAAATCTTCGAGAATGGGATAAAAATTGAAGGAGTGGAATTGAAGGAGGAATGATTAATTTGTAAGTAAAAATGTAAAAAAAAATTTCTATAGAAAAAAGACACACTTTTTGCAAATTAAAGTTCAGTGTTTGTAAGGAAATGTAATATATACTCCTCTGACTTTAGGGAATTTTGTGTTAATCATTGCATCCAGTGTAACTTTGGTTGCCTAACAGTCGCCAATGAGTATCTCATTAAATTTCTGACTCTCTCGATTTCGTGGTGGCATACGTACTAGCGGCCGTAGCAAGGTCACCTGATATTCCTTATTGTCTCCAAAAATGAAGTGTTTTAGCTATTTTACTGTGCACACTTATTTGCATATTTAGTTTATTAAGAGTAATAAATTTATTCATTTTCGCAAATGTCCTTAGTACAGGCGTTGGAGGAAGTATCAAGCAGTATTGTAACAATCTTTTATTAGTAATAAATTAATGAAAATGTATAATAATACTCCGAACTTAACAAATAATTGTACAAATCTTACACAAAATATGTCTTCAATGTAATGCTTACTTAGTAGCAATCCAACAAAATAATAATTATTAATTCATAATTAATTTCATTTATTTTCACTTTTCGACTCATTACGTACTTCATTAACATTTCTCGTGGGCGGGAAAACATATTTGGGGCTTAACCGTTCGAAATCGATGTACACCCTTCGTTTCTTCACGTCCAACTCTTCGGCGAGGTCGCCGAAAGTCGGCCTGTCCTCTGGTTTCTCCGACCAACATCGCAACATTAGAGCGTAGAGTTCGTCGGTGCAGATTTTCGGCCTCTCCAACCGTTTGCCCTTCTTCAGCTCGGGCAGTACGAAGAAGTCGTGGGTATGTTCGTATGGAAAGGCGCCTGAATATTAAAAAATATTATGCTGTTAAATGTACGTGTTTCAGTTGAATATTACCTAAAGTTCCTATCTCCCACAGAACTACGCCGAACGACCAGACGTCGCTTTTGTTGTCCCACGTTTTCTCTTCGATTGATTCAATCGCCATCCACCTCAGGGGCATTTTTTTGGGTTTTCGGTTTACGTACGACCCGCTTCTCGACATTCCAAAGTCTGATATCTTCAGGAGCTTGTTGCTGGTGATCAAAATGTTCCTTGCAGCTAGGTCCCTAAAAGCAACTCTCGTCAGTAATCCAGAATGTTGGTAATAAAGTTCCTAGCAACCGTGAAATATACAGTGTGCCCTGTTTTTCAGGTTAACGTCTCTAGAAATTTGAGAAGGCTGTGGACTTTCCGCAAGCCAATTTTTTTGTAAATAGTACCCTGAATTGAGGTTATATTCTACTAATCATTTTATTGATGTAAGAGCCTGGCCTATTACGATTGTCGTTTTTTCACAGGGTCGTTTTTCCAGAAAGTGGTATTAGGCATTTTTTTATCAAAAAGATAATATTACCAGGCTATTCAATATCCATATACCAAATTTGAACGACAAATGTCTGTTGAGTGATTTTTATGGGGTACTAAACTTCGAAAAATCAGACAACTAAAAATTATAATAATCAGTTCAAAGATTGCCATGAAAACAAGTACAAATCGGACAAGAAAAAATAATATTAAGGCGATGTCTCGCATTGTATTAGCTATGTCCTGTCCAAATTTGGTTACTGCAACTCTCTGGGTTTCGAAAATACAATACCTATGGATGTTTTCAGCCATGAAAATTGAATCATTCTAAATAATTCGCCAAGAACGGCGGTGACAACATTTTTAACATTAAGTCGATGTTTCGTATTGTATTAGCATCAGCTATGTCCTCTCCAAATTTGGTTATGTAGGTTAGTCAAAAGACTGCTGCAAATTCACTAAAAATACGCATAAAAACGCCTCACTTAATATCAGTTCCTTAAAGAGATAGAACTGTAAACAGATAGAGCAGATAGAGAGATATATATATATAGAAAGAGAAAGAAATAGAGGAACAAAGAGAGAGCCACTTACCTGTGCGTTATAGACAGCTTTTCTACGTAGCGCATGCCGTTGGCTATCTGAAAAGCAAATTGTTGTAGCTCTGTGTGATCTAGTACTGGTTCTGGAAAACGATTTATTTCCGCCGTCAATGGAGTCGGTGTTTCCAGGTCTAAGTTCGTTAGTTCAGCTGAAAATATTAAGTTCCTGTCAAGTTATTTGAAGCACAAATATGTTGTGTCCTTCTTGCATCAAAAAGGAAGAAAATATAAGAGATTTTGTATATTCACTATTCAAAATTACAATTTTGTGTGACTCAGAGCATTATCATCACAAGAAGTTTCTTTTCGACATTACGCTCTCCTAGATCTATTCGAATTCGGATTGTTTTCAAATTTTATCGTATCTACATTTAAAAGTAATTTCTTACTTTCAGCACTCGAAGGTATGCGGCTTGAATTCATCGAAGATGGAGTTTCAGGTTGTCTCAACGTTGAAGTTTGGATTTGTTGTAGATTTTGATCAGTGCCCGTTTTCAAGAACACGCTTGAATCGGCAGACCTTGGCGTCGTGGGAATGATGTAAGAACCATCACTAGTACTGCAAAAAATACAACAATGACTTCGTTTTAGTAAGTCTTGACTAGGGACGCGCCAAGCTCAAATCAGAGGCTGAACTACGTTGGAAGTAACGTATATTCCTTATAAAAGATAAGGAGCAATAGAATACTTACTCAAAAACGCAGGTAGTGTAGTTGATTTTTGCTTCTGGTAACCTGAAAGAGAAAAATTAAAGTGAAAAAACAGGATACGAGGAGTGGTGTGTCAATGTATTGTAGCATAAACAACAGAGAATTTAGGATCATACTCGTACTTACTTCTGGCTATTAGACCTAAGCAATTCCTCATCCATATCACTGTAAAAATTTATAAAGTTTTAAAGAGAAATAAGCTTGAAGAGCTCTTTACTTACTCTGGAAAGAATATCCTGGGTATATTCTTCTCGGCCCACTTCTTCCTCAGTCGAATGAGGTAGTTTTTCAAACTACCGCCTATAACCAACTCCATGATCATCAAATAGGGCTCTTCCATGGTCACACAGCCCAGGAGCCTCACGATGTTCTCGTGGTTGCCTATTTTCTTCAAAGTGTCGATTTCGGTCTGGAAATCCAAGATCTCCTCATCGGAAGCCCCATCTGATGAAAAGAAATAATCTGTTATGTGCTCGTTGATAATAATCAACTTACAGTTTCGAACTTTTGAGTTTCAGTGTAAATAACGAAATTACCTTTCATTTGTTTCACAGCTACCCACGAAAATCCAGGTTTCCCGCCCAGATCGTAGGCTTTGCCTTTGAAAACTTTGGCGAATTCACCCACTCCTATAACTTCAATCATGATGATTTTGTTTCTCGGAAACTCATATTCATCATATTTGTGGGCTTTCTGCAAAGAAAAATAATATTAAAAAGCATAAGCAACATGGTCAATAGTTTAGTTAATTTTGCACTATTTACAATAAATATCTCTAATTACTTACCAGCGCAAACTCCAGAGGCGTATATTGTGCGTTGATTTCTTCACGTAGTTTCCTGAAATAAAAACCATTAATTATGATTAACTATTGAAAATGATTGCACTTACAGTTGTGACAAAGGGGTGGCTATGTCTTGATTTTCATAGGGCTCATAAGATTTGGAAAGGAAGAAATACCTTTCCAATTTCGTCCTCACTCTTGGCGACCACACTGAAAGTTTGTAGGATACCAGCATAATTATTATCACGGCTATTACGCCTATGGCAATTAAATATGCGCGGGAATCTGAAGGTTCTGAAAATGTAAGTTGGATGAGATATTGCGAGCTTCCAGATGAAGTGCATTTCGGTTACTTACGACAATAGTCTATGGTAGAGCCATACGTGCACTCGTTGAATTCGTCAATAAAAGCTACGTTTATCGTGTAAACCACGTCTTCCTTCAGATCATGCATTGGTATTTCGACCGCGTTGTTCCTGTACTGAAAACTTCTTTCGGGAATGTAAGTCTTGGTACTGTCTTTAATATCTTTCCTTTGACTAAAAATATACTACGTTCAGTAGGTACACACAATTAAGGTATAAGTACAAAATATTCTAATTCATATTGAATTTCAAAAAGGGACATTTATTTCCTCGAAGCCTAATCATGTTTAATGCAACCAACCATCCATTTTTCTGTTGTCAATGTAGACATTAATTGTTGGCATACCTCTATGATATCAGGAATTTATCACCTATTCAATTATTGAAGTGAAGAGTAGGCGTTGGAAAAAATAAAAAATCAGATTACTGTATACTTATTTAGGACATGGTATGAGCAATAAGGAATAAATAGATATTTTAATCAAAATATAACACGCTCTCATGTAGCACTCGAGATAGTGAAACAATACCGTGTAGCTTGATAAAATAACGCAAATGATTTCAAATATTACATTTTTTTACGTGTATCCTTTCATAGCTGTCTCTCTTTTTCATTTCCATATGCTCGAGGAATAAATACACCGAGAGAAATCAGGGTGCTGATTTTTTTTATCGAAAAATAGTACCTAATTGCATATACTTCCAATTCCTAATCAAAACTTTCATTAGCTCTGGCGGAATATTTAATGATGTGCATAAGTGATCAATCAAATTTATCTTAAGATTGATTAATTAATATGATTGTTGAGTAAATAGGCATTATGTGCCATATATGTATACGGAAAGTGATTTTTATTTCTGCGAGTTATAAATAAGTAGATGTACATACTGATTTGGTTTATGGGAAAATCATTTATTTTTGCATAGGTTGATACTTATTACCTCTTTTTAACATTACTCGCTTTCCTTAATTTAAGTCATAAAATGTTTAATAAGTGGGGTGTTTGAAACCTATTTAAATACTACCATAAAAAAAATAAGGTGCAAAAGACTAGACCCGTTTTTTTTTTAATTTTTGCATCGAATCATTATTTAACTTTAAGAAAATGTAGCAGCTGACAAGCTAGACTATGACTTAACAGCGTCATCTATGAATAGGAAGCTCAACTAAAATCTCGTACCACTGTCATACTTCTTATGTTTAGTAACAGAACTACAGGCATTACTTTCACTGTCGATTAATATTCAGTGACAAAACACTATACATAGTTTTTTGATCTAAATATTTTTTATTAATGGATATTAATCCATTAATAAGATGTATTGGATATTGGATAATGTAAGTGTTTTTCTTCAATACAATGATTGACTGTATTATATTTTTGATGAAATATTTAACGAACTAGAAATGTTAAACAGATATTTATATCTATCTTAGGTACCCACTTGACAGGTTTGAGGTTCGAAGAACTAGAAAAATAAAACAGTTGTTTTCTATTGAAGATATGGCTGTTATCACACCATATCGCTGCGTTGCGATCTTCTTCACATGTATTAAATATAGTAGTTGTTACAGATATTTATTTCGCAATATTTGCGATTTAATAAAATTGTACCGGAACTGGACCATTGGGTTGGTTATTTTCAATAATAATTTTAATATCAACATCTAGCTCAAAAGTCGAAGACTTGTACGGAGGAGTGGGTGGTCTATCATTATTCTGGTATACGAAGACGTGGAAAACCCCTTTTACAGGGGTGTGAAATAATAGAAAAAACCTTGCTTCAAGCTAGACATTTTTCAGTAAATCAGTTTTATAACTATACCTACTTACTAATATATGTAGTGTACCGTGATGTTATCGTCCGTGGTGGTATTCCAAGCAAGCAAGAACATGTTTTCTGTTACTGGTGTGAGGCTTGTCACTTTATTAGGCGAGTTCGAGAAGTCTCCACATTTACACCTGTTTTCGACACACTCTAGAAACAAACGATAGTTGATGTAGCTCATGTAAAGGATGTCCCAAAGGTAAAGCAGGATCTGTATTCTGCGCCAATTTCATTCCGAAGAGTTGGCAGCATTGTGCCGGATTACATGTTGTAATAAACAAAATGGAACGCTATACGACGAATAAGCGAGTGAATTTGTTACAAGTAAGGAGAGTGTGTAGCTGAGACTGTGCTAGTGTCAAAAAAAGTTAACTCGGGAATTGAATTGTCCGTTCTTTTTTTAAATGAATTTCCACAACTTTCACTCGCTCATTCGTCGTATAGGGCTCCATTTTGTTGACTACAACACGTGACCCTACACAATGCTGCCAACTCTTTGCAATGAAAATGGCGCACAATTCAAATCCTGCGTTACCTTTGGGAGACCCTTTAGTTAATGCAAGCAAAGGAGTTTTTTGAAATATGAGGAACTACTTCCGACAATTTCTTCTTCAAACCACCACGTTGTTTTATTTTGAATTTCGTTTTATAAAAGATTTAATCAATAACGTAATGCGTTTACTACCCTATCAATTAGCGACATTATCTCCGGAAACCAATTTTCTAAACGCTTCTGTCGTCCAATATCGAGTATCTTATTAATTAATAACTTCATTTAATCAACAGGTGGTCTAATATAACAATGTCGAGCTGTCATTCGGTTCTATGCCGTAATTTCGAACTTCTAATAGTACTTTTGACCGAATTTATGTTTTTGTCAATATGACCAGTGTGGCAACTCACCAGGTACTTTGTAGATGACACTTTGGCTTTTCGCGGGAAGTGCCTTATCTTCCAGGGAGACATTGTAGACACATCCGTGAATAATGTGGTCTGCTGGATGTTGCAGGTCCATGCTGGGCCTTATTATACAGTGATTCTGAAAATGATGTGGATATTTTTACTTACAGTAGGTACTGTCTAATTGGGCTGATATTGATTGTCGATTGCTGACGTTGTTGTCAAAATTCAACAAATTTAACAAATTCGATACACCTGAGATATATTAGCTGTATATTAATACATATTCTTCGTATATCAGAGTCAGGACTAGAATTAAATGAATATATTTGAAGTTTTGTGAAGCATTTTATATCCAGCTAACGAAAACGCTTAAAACACATATTAATTAAATTTAAAAAGGAACGATTCCAGCACAAAAATCTTACACATCGATATCTGTATTTAAAATGTTGTCAAGATAACGATAAATACTCTTGAACTTACTTTTAACGCGTAATTTTCTACGTCACTGATTGGATTACATTCCTCGGTGCTGCCAAAGCTGATGGATACATATTCGGCATCATCTAAAAAAAAAAATGTTGTAGTAAGATGACAGATGGCAGGAAGTAAATAATTAGAGCGTATCTCAATCACTGTTTCATTGTTCATTGTTCATAAAAAAGAAATTAATTAGCAATTATTAAAAATTTAAACTGTAGATTATCTAGAACCAGATATCCAATCACTGTTTGAAAGACATGATTTTGTGATTTGCGAGAAATTCATTTGCCCCTTGTAAAATTTTCGTCAAATAATAATAAATAAATATCTACATATCTTGCTGAATTGCTAATAGACTCTTTTTTCGAATGTCACTAAAAAGGTCTATAGCCACTGATTGTGTATTTATCCATGTTTTCAATTTGATTTTTAAAATTCATTGTACCTGTTGCTGATTTTTAAAAGATTTTACGTTTTACCACATTTTTCGATACGGATTTATTATTATTGATGAGATCACCTTTATAACTGCTCTTCATCATCTCATTATCAACATACTCGTTGTAATTATTTGCCAACTGTTGCCAGAGACAGAGCACTAAATATAACTTTTATCGTTCTTCTATCTGATATATTTTGACCTAAATCTTGTTCAAACAAAATTTTTATTTAAAAAATGACTATTTATTTGCGACGATTTTAAAAAAAGTATCTTAAAATTTAACTGGGACAACTGTATCATTACGCAAACAAAATTATGAAAAAAGATAATCCAAAGTAAACTGAACTTTTTAAATATAAGAACAGCAAAAAGTATTTTTAGCAAAACCGATTTATTTGTTGTCAGGACAAGCCTTTTGTATGGATTCTACGTCCACAAAACGCTTTCACTTTTGATATCTCCAAACGAGATATTTTGGGTTTCTGGATCATATTGAAAACACTATGTTTCGTCACCATTCATAATGTTATAAAGGAAGTTTTTGTCCTTTTTGTCCTCCTTGATGATGTGCTTCGGTAGGCCAAATCAAAGTTTACAGAATAAATATTTATTTTGCAAACTTTGCCCAATTGTTCGGTCAAAATGCGTTTAATTATTATTGAGATGTTCAATTCCAATTTCACGAATTTCAATGAAGATTTTGGCTGACCTTTGATGAATAATTCACCCACAGTTTTTGCTCATTACTCATTTATTTATGTCCTCAGGACCGTTTATAACGTTATATTTCTGACGCATGTAATTGCCTGAGTAGAAATACCTACTTTTGAAAAGTTATGTTTACTTTGGAAGGTATCCTATATTGTATATATATATGGAATATATAGAATAATATAGACAAAATTCTTCTGTTTGAAGATATCTATCGCAAAGTCAAGAGATGATTGACTTTAATAACTGCTTTTCTGTATCATTAATCCATCAATGTTCTTAGATTGTGGGGTGTTTATTTGACCAAATAACGAGAAATGTTTAATATACTTTAGTAGGTTGAATTCTGTGGAAGCAAATATTAATATCATTTTTATTTACCACAAGTAAATATCCACAAACAGTTTCATTGACCGATAACAGTTAAAAGTGGTTAAAATTGTACTTACATAAAATATCTCCCCATGTTATATTTAGACGTATGTAACCATTACCGTCAAGGAAGGTATGTACTGAAAGGTCGCTGACTATCGGTCCTTAAAAAATAAAATGTAACCATAAAAATGTGAATAAATAAAACACTAAAACACTAATAGACGAAATTTTTGTAGATCTAGTTATCTATTTATAACTAAGTTATCATACAGGACGTCCAAATTTACCATTTACTTATGGGCTTTAAAAAAATAATTAAATATTTCAATGAAATTTGTCATAAGTAGATTTTTGGGGTAGCCGAAAATAGACAATATCTCTTTTTTCGTTGCTAAAGTGACATGATTTCTCGGTTTCTACATCTGAAGTATTGCCCAACCGCTTTTGGACACCCTGTATATAATTCTATGTAAAAAAAATGCCTACCTGTGGTTGGTGTAAGCGTTATAACCTCAGCAGATACCTGAAATAAAATAAAAAATATGGTCGTATATAACAACAGATGTTTTTAAGTTATCGCAATAAATATCTTCATTTTAAGTAAATCTGTATGCTATATTTAAACATTTGAACAGATCTTACGAAACCACATGATTATTTTCGGATTTGTTTTAAAATAAACACAAGTAAAAAAATTTCCCTTCAAAGCTTATTACTTATTTGTTGATTGGGCGTTACTTTACAAATCATGTATCGATGCAATAATATTTGTTCAGTATAAAAATAGGTAGGTAATCATTTACGAGACGACAACAGATTATATTTTATTACCTTCAACATAACAAGGAGAAACAGCGAGGGAATAGCTAACATTATATAACATATTCTTCTATTCTGCCTGGTTCTTGATCCTGGTCGGCTTCGCCCTTCGTGGGCAAGACATCATCACGAAAATCCCTAAAAGAATGAACGTACTGAGTTTAGTTTGATAGTTTTATTTTGACATACAGGCTGTTACAAATTCGCTTCTCAATACAGGGAAATCGGAAACGGTAAGAGATACGAAGTAGCTTAAACATTATGCCTCTAAAAATCAAGGCTAACGTGATTAGTTTTCGAAATATTGGAAAAGAACGATATTTTAGAAATTCATTGTTGTTTCATTTCAGAACAGAACAGTTTCTCATGGCAACTTTTTGCCCTGTATCGAATGGCATAATCACTTTTTATATGTAACGTTTCGTCTCTCTAGGACTTCATTTTTTTAAATACGACCCTGGAAATTTTATTACAGTTTTGCAATCGTTTATAACCCCCAATAACGTACTGCCTCAGCCCGAACCAGATTCAAACGTTTTGTCTCGAAAAATTCATCATTCATTTAATTAATCTTTAATTCATCTTAAAAGAGGGCAAAAAGTTGCGTTGTGTTCTTCTTGTTTCAATATCACCTCAAACAAAGCTGACATTAAACAAAATTGGATTTCCAAAATTTCGATTTATTTGAAATATTTCGAAAACTAATCATGTTAGCCATGATTTTTTAAAGGCATAATGGTCCCCTGATTATACGAGCTATTTCGTAGCAAATTTGTAACAGCCTGTATACAGAATATTGCAACAAATTGCTGAAAAACGAGCAGTATAGATGTGTTATTAGTTTACCAAAAACAATAACATCAGTTGTAAAGAAAAAGCAGGATATTAATATGAAGTATGATACAAATATACAACAGAATCTGCTGTTATTACTAAGAAAAACTTTGGTTTCCAAGAATGTGGAAAAATTCCAAATAGTTAAACACTTTTTTTAGAAAATAATAAACATTTGCAGATAATCAATATTGGTATCTATTCGTTGTTCATCTTGTACTGGATGTCGCCGGCGTCGAGTCGTCACGATAATATTCATTTGATTAATTACGAACGATAACACTTTATTTATTTGTTCAGAGTTCAGACGAAAACAAATTTACGTGAGAGCAAGATGTTTCTCATACATACCACGCTGTAAATTATTAATTTCAAACAAAAGCGTTTTTCAATCATTTCCAACGTTTGTTTAACAGCGAGAGTGTTAATGCTTTAGCAACTATTTGCTTGTAAACATGAATAGCGTTTTACCGTTTCAAAAAATGTTTCGGCGCCTTTTTCACACACCAAACTCGAGTTGTAAGTTCTATGTTTGACCTGTTGTTACACGTGTATAATTTTGGTGAAGTGATTCAATAACCTCCACAGATTACATAACAAATGGAATAAAATAATCGTTTTGAAAGTACATATTTAACTTTGAACTCAACTGTGTTGATATCTTTATCCACAGCAATCGCACTTAATAAATGGTTCACAGTAATGGTTGTTTAAAATTTATTTAATCAGGTATTCAAGCAAGTAATTCACGTCGAAATATTTCATTTAGACGTGAGATAACAGAATAAATTTTATGTGGGACATTGAAATAAATAATAAACGAAATGAATATAAATTATACCCAAATATTGAAGCTTTATTTAGAAAGTGCGTTCAAAGATACGATTCTAAAACAATGTGCAGCGACTTCGCCTTGTGTTAACGATTTTTTTAAAGTACCAATCCCCCAATAACATTCATTGTTATCTTCTATTACAAGACGAATGATGTCAAGGCGTCAATATCCCCAACCAAATCAAAATGATAGCAATATATAAACATTACTCTTCAGGGCATTAGTTTTCTATATATTATACACTAATTGTTTAAATAGGATTTAATTGAATAAACTGTTTATTATATTCCATCCAATAAACATTAGTACAGCAGATAAGGCAGATAACTGTATTTGGATTCCGACTGAGTGTCAACTTTATTGCTTTTTTGAAAGATTAGTAACAATGAGGATATACAATATTAAATATAGTACCACTGCATAAATATTTCCTGGATTTTATTAATCTAATAATAGCTAATACAGATATTGAAATCGGAACGAACCCATACTGTTGTCAATTCTTAAAAAAACTTGGAAAAGTTTTCTAAAAGCAAAATTGAAATATTTTCTGAAACTGAAAATTGGCGAAATTTGAAACACGGATATCCTACGTGTTGTAAAATAAACAAGGTGCCGAAAGAAAACATCAGGGTGGCAAGGTATATTTTTAGTTAAACGATTAATAATAACAAAAAGTGAGCACCGCATCCAAATATTTGCCCTTGTTTTCAAGGCGTTAATCAGTAGAAAACACTTAAAATATTTATAATCTATTGCCTGATAAAGCGTACTTAAGATCATGTTATTCAAATGACGTTAAACGATATGACAGACAAGATGTTTATCTCACTAATTACTAATGAAAGATCGAAACTATTAGTTTTCTTTTCTACAGTTTACTGCCAAAGTCAATAAGTTTTTATATGGGTTGCATATTGAAAACCCTTAAAATTATATCTATATACTGGGTGTTACAAGAAACGTGCGCCGTTTCCTGCTTATTCTGTACTGGTTCTGGTCTTGTTCGGCAATTTAGTTTTAACATGCGAGACTTAACAAATATTTTCACAATGACTGATCTGCTATCTAATACAGTCACGTTATTTTTCTCAAATCTTACAAGTGCCTGTATTTAAATAATAAAAAGATATTTAAGTACCGATACAGCTAATTTGGTGTTATCAGACAAAACAATTAATTCTCTGTCGTTTCAAAAGATACATGAAATTTGTGGAATTGCTTACATGAATAATTAGTTGTAGCGAAATATTTTGCAATATATCTATGATATTTTCTGTACAACCCTGTGTTGTCTATAATCGTATTGTTGTTAAATCATATGAACACAGAGAGATTAAGAAGGTGAATGAATCGCCGTTGATAAAATGAGTACACTTATCAGCTCTAAACTCTAAACCATAATTTGTAACGCAACTGTAAATTAATTTTTCTCGATACGTATGCTAAGCTTTTTATTGATAATGAAATTTCTGAGATATTCAGAATACCAAAATATATCGAGAAAAATTTATTGCATATAAAAATCTAAGACAAAATCAGTTATACTTTATGACTAATATTAATAACTAATATAATAAGTAATCCATGTTTTATGACGGTCATAATAAAGTTAAAAATTTATGTATAGTTTTGATTGATAAAAAGATACGAACTATTAAATAACAATGAGTTTTTTTGAATTTTTTTAATTGCTAATAAAAAAGCAATATTTTATTTTGAAATGTATTTGTGACTGTGGATAATAGACGTTGCAAATTGGCAAGTATCAAAGCAACCTACCTGTTTAGAAACAATATCAGCTTCGTGTTCAAAACACGCCTATTATCCAATTACGTTATCACTAAACTATAACTTTTTCAATCAACGCCACTTGTATCACTAATTTTGCTCGGCTATTTTCACTCAGCTGTGATATTTGATATTTTCACTGTCACTCCTACACTTTTCTGCCAATTTCGTCACTAGAGCACTACGTGATACACTCTTTCAGAAATTCTATACGAACTGAGCGTAGCCTCAAGTGATCGTCGATATTTAGTAATAATTGTTGTCGCTGAATAGGTGAGGTTTATCTTCTAGGGTGATAAGAAGCAAACTACGTCAAAAATATAGAGGCTATGTATAATTGATAGGCGTTTGATTACTGCTCCCTCTCAAAGATCCATTATTTATCCTCTCATTAGATTAATGGATAGGCGTGGGAGGAGGGGGGCTGACGGTTATTTCTTCCTTAATATTCCCGGTCGACGAATATCATTCTACGGACCAGTTATTGGGAATTGTTTGTTGATGGTGGTCTCGAGAATTGGTGCCGAGGGAAATTAGCTACGGTGCGGGAAACTACTACTCTGCGGGTTAACTCCCTGATCAGCATTGAAATATAAAGTTTTAGATACTAATAAGATACATTTTCTGTTTTTGCGACGCGATAAAAATAAAAAAATTAACTGATGTCTAGAGACGTAAGTTTAAATATGACAAAGATATGTTGAAAGATTTTCAATATAAATTGTAAAAAATAATGTATGATACTAACAGAAATCTATTTTTTCCGGGAACTAAGAATTTGAAAATTTTAAATATATCATTATTTGTGCCTTACCCAAAGACGTAACATTTATTTTTTGTATAAAGGAACTTCAAAAGAGAAGTTTGCGCGCCACTGGTTTTTCACGTTTACATAAACTTGTACCTGCTCGTGAAGGTTCGTGATCGACGTCAAATTAGAAAAAAATAGTTTAATAAGTTCAGATTAAAAAGTTTAATTTTTAGAACACCTTATTGCATCTCGGTAACGAAGCATTTTTCGACAAAGCTTATTTAAACCACCTGTTATTTTCATCATAGAAGTGATTCATGACGTTTGGACGATTAGCAAACTGAACACCCTGTGTATGTTACATATTCTTTCGTTTTTATATGCCTGCACTATTATTCGGAAAAATGGCGGCTGCGCCGGGGTTTCTATGAAAAAATATGAACGAAGTATAGTATACGTCTTAGGAAAAACAAATAGTCTAGGAAAATAACTTTTTTACTCCGAGATTTTTTTATATAGAAAAGTGTAGGTCAGAAGAAATGTGTCACGCAACCACTATCAACATAAGGACAAAAAACTGTCAATATCACAATGAAGATGCATTTTTTCGAACAAAATTTTCATATCAAAGTTGTGCAAAATTAAATTTCCAAAAAAATGACTTCCATAAAAATTTCGATTTTCCTAATAGTTTTGCCGTATATTTTTTAAATGAAGTCCGGATAAGGTATGTGAAAATTAATGTTTTGGAGGCAAAATAATGGTCAAATTCATTTTTAAATAACGAAGGTGAATTAGAGAAAAGAAAATTACGGAAAATTCTTGTAAAATTTTATGTAGTTTTCCAAGGTTTTCCGAGCGTCTACATTACGAATTAATTATGCACTTTTTAATATTACCCAGCAAAATATTTTCTTTGAAAATTTGTTTTTACTTTGATTATTAAAAACTAAAAATTTGTAATGTAATGACAAAGAAAATTTCAATTTGATTAAATTATATCAATATTTTTTTTATTTATTTATTATTAAAAAACAATTATTATTTTATTTTATTTATTACTTTTAATTTTTTATAGACTACCATATCTAAGTTTTTTATGTAAAACTGCTTCATCACTGTAGCAAAAAAAAAATCTAAAAAACAGACTTTTCTGGAAAATATTAAAAAGCTCATAATTAATTTGTAATGTACACTTGAAAACCTATAAAAACATACGTTTGATACTCATAAATATTCAAATCTCGGAAAACTATTTAAGATTTTCCAAGAATGTTCCGCAATTTTCTTTTCTCTAATTCAAGTTTGTTATTTAAAATTGATTTGACCGTTATTTTGGCTCCAAAACATTTATTTTCACATAATCTGTACTCCATTTAAATATACGGGAAAACTATTGAGAAAATCGAAATTTTTCATAGGAACAATTTTGTAGGAAATTTAATTTTGAATAAACTTTTTTTCTAGAAAATGCATCTTCATTGAGATTTTGGCAGTTTTTGGTCAAAAATCGCGATATATAAGTCGACACCATATGGGATCCTTTTTTATTATGAGCGTTATAAAAAAAAGTTATTCTTGATAAAATGTTCTGCATGCATGGCATAAAACCCTAAATGAAATAATCAGATTTCAATTTTTTGCAGTCCTATATGAGGTTTGTCGAAAAATGTAAATGTTCCACAAGAATAAAGTACCTTTATTTTTTACAATATCGACAACCGTTATTGAGAAAAGTTGATCCTAAGAGAAAACTACGCTCAGATATCCACTATTATCCATCTACCTTTAAAAACAATCTTTAATAATTTTTGGGTATAAACAGAAAATTAACAAATAAATTATAATTTAATTATCATAAAACATTTATTGTATTGAATATGAATTCATGTTTGTAAAAATTTGTAAAAATAACAAAATCTGTTTTTTAATAAATAATAACTTCTTTTCATAAAACCAATAATAAAAAGGTATCCCATATGGTGCTGATTTAATTGGACACTGTATATGTCTATATCCCAAACCGCTGTATGTTACTGGTGGTTCCTCAAAACCTACATTTTTCTATAAAAAAATAACTTTCCTGGACTAAAATATTTTCATGACAATTTGTGTATTTATAAACTGATAAACAATTTCCACAGATCAGTACATTTTTAAAGCCTGGATGAATTAATATTTAAAAATCTTTGCTGTGATACATTTTTTACAACGGTGATTTACATAAAACACATGTACCTTGTGTATACAACAACTCGTTGAGATGTTAATTATTATTTTATTATACATCAAATTGTTTTTGTCATTAAAAGTTATTAGTACATTGTCAAGGCTTCTCTGTATGCATTGTTGGGGTTACTTATGTTGGGTGTTTAATTATGTTATCAAAAAATCGGCCTGCATTGAATAGGAATAAAAAAATGCAACAATAACATTTATAACAGTTTGTGTTGAAACAATGGGGTTCTAGTTGTGTAGGTATTTTCAATATAAATCTGGCTGATGCCCCAACACTCTACCTGGGACTACCAGATATAAAAAACACGTGTATCTCGTCCATCATTATCATAAGAGAGAATAATAAGAGTTTTTGAAAATTTTGGGTGCTTAGGTCTATGGGCATTATTTTTTATCATTGAATGATATGTTTTACGCTTTTACTCATAATGTAATAAATATTTTTGCAAAACGTGCCATCACGGCAAAATAATGAGTACACCAGGAAAATTAGCGAAAATAAAAGAGAAACTCGAAAAAAGTCCTATCCGCGATATTATTGTAAAATTGTCTAAAGGAACATAATACAAGGCATCTCTCATCTCGTGAGTCAAAAACTTTTATTAACTAACTTTTCTATTTAAACAAATAAGTAAGGAAAACAGTTTTTTCACTTTGCAGGGAAAACCATCAATTTTAGCGAAAAGTGACTCTCATACAACTTGTAGGGAATAAAATTATCTACAAACTGAGACTTGTTAAATTAAAATCGGTTAATAAACAAAAAAGTTATTGCAAAAAAAAACAAGAAAAGTGCCCATTTTTAATTTGTTTATATCTCATTTATTGTTAACATTTTATAAAACCTATGACAAGTTGAGGGTTTTGTCATACTTTAAAATAGTGCCAAAAGTAGGCGCTGTAGGTGCAATAGTTTTCGCACAATTCAATTTGTTTATAACGGAGGCTCCAAAAGTTATGAACTTTAAACCTCTGTACAGGGGTTAATTTTCAACCAAACATGATTCTGAAAGCGTCGTTGTAATCTTAAAGACGTAATTAAGTAATTAAATAATATCACCGTTTTTTTGACATTCACAATCTCAAATTGTGCATTAAAAAACCCTGCGTTTTTCGCTTATAGACAATTTGAATAAAATTGTTGATATTTATACTACCTCACCGAAAATAGATGCAATGGATAGCTGGTAAAAAAATACAAATTTAAAAAAAAAACATCCTCTACGGCAACATTTTATTCAAATTGTGTATAAGCGAAAAACGCACGTTTTTTTAATGCACAATTTGAGAATGTTAATGTCAAAAATACGGTGATATTTTTTAATAGGTCGCTTAATTACGTCTTTAAGATTACAATGACGCTTTCAGAATCATGTTTGGTTGAAAATTAACGCCTGTACAGAAGCTTAAAGTTCATAACTTTTGGAGCCTCCGTTATAAACAAATAGAATTGTGCGAAAACTATTGCACCTACAGCGCCCACTTTTGGCACACTTTTAAAGTATGACAAAACCCTCAACTTGTCATAGGTTTTATAAAATTTTAACAATAAATGCGATAGTTGCAAACAAATTAATAAAATGGGCTCTTTTCTTGGTTTTTTGCAATAACTTGTTTGTTTATTAACCGATTTTAATTTAACAAGTTTCATTTTGTAAATAATTTTACTCCCTACAAGCTGTCTGTGAGTCACTTTTCGCTAAAATTGATGGTTTTCTCTGCAAAGTGAAAGAACTGTTTTCCTTACCTATTTGTTTAAATAGAAAAGTTAGCTAATAAAAGTTTTTGACTCACGAGATGAGAGATGTCTTGTATTATGTTCCTTTAGACAATTTTACAATAATCTCGCGGATAGGACTTTTTTCGAGTAAAATTTAATTTGCTTGGCCTATAAGCTTTATATTCAGTTTTTTAATTTTTAAGGTGCGTGTCGTCAAAATGATGATATCTGTTAATCGATTTTTTATAAAAACATGTTTAAAGTCTTATCAAAGTTCTTGATTTGAAAATCTAGAAAGATAACATGCAACTCTTATATTATTTCCTTTTCACTACGGTAAATATATTAATTTAAAAAAGAAACGTACCTTAAAGTCTTCTGTAAAGTTAGAAATTATAGAAAAAATCTGTTACTGTATCAGTAACCCGCGTTGCACTGACGGCAGCGAAACCATGCTCCTCCTCCGTAATAATTTGTTTTATTTTTGAAGTTTTACATAGCACTAATAACTTAGTGACGTTAAAAATACTGGAGGATGAGAGAAATATGCCAGCTTTTCGGAGAAGAAGCGCGAGAAGCGATTTTTTGTAATTTATTCCCCGTTGTAATGTAATCAAAGTCGATCACCGAAATGTTTTTGTAGCGTAATACACCTCGCTTTATTGACACTGCGAATATGATTAATTTTCACAATTTACATTTTGGGTGCCGATAAATGAAGTGATGTTAAGTCAATTTAAAAGTAGAAATCATTGTTTAAAATTGTTTTAAGGGGGCGCCACACGAGGTTAACGAGCAACGAATACCTAACATACTGAAATCATCAGGTAATGTAAACTATAAAAGAAATTTAGAACAAGAATAGAGGTATTCGAATGTTTACATTATTTAATGACTTCAATATGCGAGGCATAAATTTTTTCGTCAATAATATTCGGATAGATCATTTTTAATTTTTATTTAAGATAATTACACAGATCCACAAAAAAAGTACGAGTATTGAGTACAAAGATTTTATATTTTTTTATGCTGACAATGAGTTCGAATGTAGTCCAAAAACCAATTTAGCAGGTAATTTTTTAGTAAAACTCTTAAATATCCCCAAAATGGAGTGAAATAGTGATAAGGTAAATATAATGAAATCTAAAATGGGAGACCCATTATGGCGGTTTGAAAAATATCATAAAAATTGGTATTTAGCACCCAAAGAAATGCGTTATGAATGTTTAAAAAATTAAGTCATTTGAGTTTTAAAAACAGGCAAATGTCTAAAAGTGAGAAACAATCGTTATTTACACCATAAAGGAGGTAAGTATTATCTACCAGTCGAGGACGATTTTGCGCCCGAGCGGAGCGAGAACTGACAATAGAGTCCGAGACTGGTAAATTATACTTAACTGCTGCGTGGTGATAACATTTTATCTGTTCCCACAGTTCTTTATGGTTTGACATTATTCGAAATGTTGCAAAGTCGCCTTGGTTGTTTGGATTTTGTCGTTTCTAAGGTGTTTATAAACAAAGCTACATAAAAGTTGCGCAATTTTCTGGTTTTGAGTTATTATTTTTAAATCAGTGATTTTCAGATAGAAAGTGGAGCAAGTCGAAAGTGCGCTACGGTATATAGAAATTTCAAAGAATGGTGCCAGAAATGGTCTGAACTGCTGCAGAATTGAAATACTCATGGTTCATATTTTATTCTAGCTGCACTGTTGCTCGCGACATCTCCCACTCACTAGTAATATTCATTTATGGAATGATCGCGAGACCCGCGAGCGGCTTAGCGATATCTAATTGCGGCAGGAGTGCGTACTGCGACCGCGAGAGAGCGCCAGGCACCGCGTGTGTCCGCGAACCGCTCGCAGCAATGATTCGACGCGAAGGTGATGCGCACAGCTGATAGCTCTGGCTGGGCCGCGCTCGCCGCTCCATCTTGAGTAGAATATAGCTTGTGAACGGTGAGTGTATAATTGTGCGACCAAAATCCGATGTTTATAGTTTAAAGTGTACAAAATTAAATCAAGAAATGTCTTCGAATAACCAGAAGCAATCGACCACGCAACGTATGATACAAGGTCAGTGATGTGTTTCGCTTTTATTTGGGGTATTGGGACGTTCGCGCACTCCGTGTGCAGGATTGATTTTCCAGGCGCCATGACTATCGATTTCGCGGATATTGTGACAGTTTCGCGGCGAAAAGTGGTTATATTGTGGTGGTAACATGTCGGGGACGTGGGCCGGGCCCCCAGGGCCCGAGCCCACCCGTCCAGCCGCTATTACGCCTCTGGTGTTGTCGGCGGCCTAGGCCATGCTGCATACTGTTCCTGATTTGGCTGCGTCTATTTAAATGTTTACACCACCACATCGGGGCCCATTCCAACGGGTTTTTGACAGCGTTCTAGAGGTGCAAGTGTCGCCCGGACCTTACGGAATTATCGTTAACGTCCGTCTTTCTTGTTGTCTCTCGGTATTTTCACCTCTCGCTTCGGGCACCGTTTAAACAAACGTATCTTCCTGCGAGCCAGTTCTAAAAATAAGAATTAGTACACCATTATCTTATTTTAGAGCTCCCGATGAAAACAAAACATAGTTTTGAGTAGGTAACAGGTTGCAAGCCTATATGCACCGTCGACGTCGGGATGCCTAGGTGTTATCCTGTTATCCCTAAATGCCCTAGATTTTCTGGACGACAATGAATTGATTCTATTAGCGTCGATGCAATTGTTAGACGCGTTTTATGTTTAAGTAAAAAATTAAATGTAGGGAATATTCCAGCGCTGCAACAGGTGCACTTTCGTCTAAATGTTTTATGTTTATAGTCTTTTATAACTAATTATAATATAAATAAATAGTGTGGTAAGCCAACAAGGATCGAGGAGATACTATTCCAACTGGCTCTATCTTGAGTAGGTGTTGAAAAAGCAGAAAATCGTTTGTTTTTGGGTAAATAACTGATTGCATTGATTACTAGTAGGTGGATATAACTTCCTAGATACCTATCGGGTAGGTACTTGCAATGATGCAATGGTATTCGATATCTTAGAAATTACTCAACTAATGCATATTTTCAATTTTTAATATTAACATATAAAACATACTTCTTAAATATATATAATTTCTTGACCATTTATTTAGTTCTTGAAAATTATTTATTTCCTGGGTTACTGGTAAAAGAAATATACCTAATTAGTTTTTAAAAGTATTTTTCATCCATAAATACTTTTATTACGGTCGTTTCGGGTTTTATCCCCTCTTCAGATAACAGCATCAAAACATAGTTATTATAAAAATTTTTACATTTTCCTTAACTTTAAAATTAAATTTAGTTTCTACTAGGTACCTTGTTTACTCGCTTGTTTATCGTATATGAAATATAAAAAATAGTAATATAAAATTTGAATAGTTTTACATATTTGTTAAATTATATAGGTTGTTAAACAATATAATACAAAACTAAATTTTATTAGTATTATGTTTTGCATAATATGTTTAAGCGGGCTTACCTTCTCGATGTCTACGAAACGTTGCACTAAAGACTGTGATGTCTAGTTGTGTATCTTCGTCGGCATTCTCGAGCTGCCTCTATGGCATTCCCATTGGAATACCCCTCGGAATACCCATATACGAAGATAATATCTGCATACTATTCAGTTGTAAATAGCACTTTACCACTAAGTGTCAAATGAATAAACAAAATGACATAAATAATAATTTTTGTTATAGCAACCATCATTTTTATTTATCAGGCTACTTTGATTGAAATATGAAATTATATTTATTAAAATACTTGCAACTTCTAAACAAAAACGAATCGGATCTATGTTCATACAAGAAAAAATGAAATGAAATTAATCCAGCTACCATCTGTCAAAGTTTGTTATTGAACTTGTAGAATACCCTGTATATTTAAATAACTCTTGCTTTATAACTCAAGTTTATGTGCCTATACCTATACATATATATATATTTTATCAAAATTGGTTGCATTATAGCAAGAGAGAAACCCCGTTTAAAATTTCTACATTAAATTAAAATACTCATATTCATAATTACTCAGAAACCAATAATAGAAAAGAGGTATACAGCGTGGGGTGGGGGTTCTAGCTGCATAGCACACCATACTTGTGACAGGAATAATTGTTTTAATTCTTAAATTTTACAAAAATATTGTTATTACAAGCATGCACATCTGCGGTTTCTAGGAGGTCCTAAGGAAAAACGTATTTTTGTGGAAATGATTCTAAAATTTTTCCTGAATTACTTTTTAACTTTTTTGTATTTGTTTATTTCATTTTGAAGAAGCATACTTGTTTTAAATATTTGATGAGCATCAACTTACACAATTTTTATCTATACACGAAGTACACTGCGTTTCTTAAAACACAGGGTGTATAGTTATACCAAATTGAAAAAAAGTCGAAATACCTAAAATAACACACTTGATATTATGATTATGCATTTTTAATTATTAATTTCTTGCGCCAGCTTTTCATCTTTATATTTCGCGTTCAATCACCCTAAAATGAAGCGAATTTGACGAAATACTTACAATATTTTAGTCAATACATATTTCATTGACAAAATGTTCACAATAAATATTTTTCGTGTATATCAAAATTAAAGATTTAACTGATTAAATTAGTTAAAAAAAAAAAATAACTGAGGGTACGCAATTCAACACTTTCAGACATCCTGCACATTAAGATAGCGGTTTTTCGTATCAAGAAGAAATGCTAATTATGTTGATAAAAAAAAATTGATAATTGTGATGTCGGTGACATTAAAACATATCGATTAATTACTATGAATATAACAAAAGTTGGAACGAAATAAAAATTGTTAAATTCGGAGTTTGTCTAAAAAACCACTTTAATAAAAAAAACTTCAATTTAAATTCTAAAATAACCAGTTGTTTGTGTTAGGAAGAAGTTAACCATTCCGATCTGACTGATTTGCATATTTTTTTCTATTATACACTTGTGAATTGTGAATTACTTTATTATGAACATGGCGTCCTTAACCGGTGCCTGCGACACACCATTGCAATTGTTTGCACACCTACTGCGATGTTAACATTCCCATATTATTGCCAAACGTGTTAAAATATAATTTATAAATTATAACGATTAACTCGGGTTTTTCTACATTTGTACTTGTTTAATTTCGTAGATACTTGTATTGAATAAGTATATAAATAACATGCCCACTGACCTGCAGGAACAAAAAAAACTTGATACTTAATAATAATTAATCAGGTGAGCCTTGAATGTGGCAGGCAGTATTGTACGCGGTTATTTTGTACAGGAATAGCATAGCGTATCTTAAGGCAGGTTTGCAGGAGCGCTTCATCACGCGTCTGTTCAATTCATTGATCTGAAGCGTTTATATTAAGTAGTCAGTTTGGACGAAAGAATTACGCTTTTTTATTCAAAAAGTTTAAAAATCCCGCTTTGCCCGAAAAAAAATCTGGCAACGCTGTATAACACTAAGTTTTGGCATCGTCGCATATAAACCGCCTTCTATATTATTTTATGAAAAATGTTATCCACTCTTTGCCTCAACGTTGCTTAACAATGCCAAACCTCGGGCTCTATTATACAAAAAAAAAAGAAAATTTACAAAAATATATTTTCTGCTACTGAATATTTATGTTGTCTTGCTTCATTGGAATGCATTTGATTGATTGTTTTATTTTTTTTTTGTATACCCACTTAATTTTTAATTAACTTGTAGATTCGTTTATTATGGGAAATAACAGTTTCAAGGCTGACTTGATTAGGTTTTCGTAGAAAATTGCTCGGATTTAATGCAACTTTTTTAAAAAAAATATGGGTTCTTACAATAAATTAGCCATTTAATTATCTAAATCTACGCCAGTTTTAATAAAATACTGTAAATTGGCAGTTGCGTCTTGCAAATTAATGGATATATTTGGAATGGTGAAATATATACCGTGTATTTAAGAAATTAAGTGTCATTTGTCGGTACTAATTATTTTTTCAGCACAATTTAGTTGATGCGTAAACATAAATTACATACAAAAAAATTATTCATGTCATAAATGTCAATAATTAAACCATTTAATTACTGAATGTCTGGTATATTATTAAACAGTCTGTTTGATTATAAAAAAAATGATTATTAGTACCGCAATAAATAATACTCCACATAACTTAAAATTAAATGCAGTTAGTTGTGTGTAATTCGAAGATGCGAATTATGTATCGAAAGAAATGGACAATTGTTTGAACAGTACTTTTAAACGTCACTAGGTATTCATTTTACATTTTTTTGTTCTTCATGAATTAATTCACGAATTTAAGTATTGGTAAACAGTATGGTTTTACACTGCTACAGACTTTGTCAAGTTTTTTGACGTATGAATCAGTTCTACCAATGAGATCAAAGAAGCAAATAAATTTAAAAAATGTCACCTTTCCACTCATAATTGTAGTGATACAACAGCGGTACCATTCTGACACATATTATATAAATATTAGTTTTTGTAAGTAACAAATCAGTAAAAACAATGCAAAACTAGCACGACACCACACAATTATTTACATATTCCAATAACATAACGTCATTACTGATCTGAGGCTGGAAATCTGTTGGGTTGGTACTTCTGAACTTCACGAAGAAATTGACGAAAATTAGAACATGCTCTAATTATTCGTCAAGAACTTTATGAATAAATTCATGAAGTTATTTGACAGCAAATTTGGTGCATTACACTAGTCCAATTTCTTGATGAAGCGAATTAATTCATCAATAAATTGTCAATGTAAAACAGCTATTAGGAAATTGTTGAATGTAGTGGCTACACTGTTTTTTCCACATTCATAATAAACCTGCAGTATATCAACTAATTCATTAGAATCATTTTGTTATAAGTTGAAAGGTGACAGCAATTATAAACAAACCGATATGTGACATGTGACAGTTAGCGGTATGCAAAATTGTTTTTCCAGCGCCTTCTATTTGATATGATTTAGAAAGCGAACAACGCAAACTAAAGTCAAAGGCTTAAAGTTTACTCATTTTTTCTCAAAAATTTCGTTATGGAAAGACACAA